CCCCCCCCCCCCCCCCAAAAAAAATAACGCATCACAGTTTTTAAGCGTTTCATAAATTTCGGAGTCCGATTGCAGAAGTTTTAAACCATGTCATAAAATTTCACGAAATTTCATTATGAAATTGAACTTCGCGGACCTTGATTTATTTTAAACTCTTTATTTTTTCCTTTTTTGGAAAACTAGTCGAGGTAATTTCTTGAAATCCTCTTTGATTTTTCTTATCTTTTGGCCGAATATTCGGTGTGCATTTCAAGCCATAATATCGGCTAGTTTTTCTTCATAAAAATAAAACAGGAGCGGAAATTTTGGCAAATCGCAATAGAGATACGTGGTTTTGCACATTGGCCATCGATATTTGAAGACGGCACGTGACTTCAGAGGCTGAATCTTTGTATCATTTAAAAATCCAATTAATGGTGAAGTAGGAGATATGATAGATGAGCGATTATCACAGATGCTTAAGATTATTCTTCAACCAAACAGTACGACGCACAAAAAACGCCTTCATTGTGAAAAGATACTTCCTAGCGTGGCCTCAGAGGCCGAATAGTTGCATCATTTAATCCCACAAATTAGCAAGTAATGCGGACGCCTGGCATCATTCTTTAACAAAGAATGATGATTCATTAAAAACGCCTTCGCTGTGAAAAAATATTTCCTAGCGTGGCCTCAGAGGCCGAATACTTTGAAACTTGGATGATGTCCCTAGGTCAAAGGGAGCTACTTTTTGCAGCCCTAAAATTTTCAGTTCGGAGAGCAACGGACCCCAACTTTTTTTTTTCAAATGGGAGGGCTCTCCCTTCCCCTTCCCCCTCCTAGTGATATACCTCGTTCCAAAAAACATAAGAAAAAAACTTTTCGCGCAAACGTGAAGTCATTATCTTAAACCATTAAAAGTGCATTAGAAGTGCAATATGCTCGAAAATTGGTACCTTGAGCTTTTGACGATGGATTTGCCTGAAACTCGGCATTAAAAGAAAAAAAATTGACCTCCAACAAATGGAAAACTCAAATTTTTTCAAATGGCTATACATTTTACTTTTCCCCCTCAAAATCTAACTTCAAATTCGTTTTCGTCGAGCGCATACATACCTTTTGACACCGAGTTTCGGGAAAATCCATCGACTAACACAGGTGCCAATTTTTGGTCACTCTGAATTTTAAACGGCTGCCATTTTGAAGTGGTTTGAGATGACCTCAGGTTGGCGCAAAAAGTCTCCTTTTTTATGTTCTTTTGAATGAGGTCACACGGGGGGGGGGGGGGGNGGGGGGGGGGGTGTCCTCTCCGTTTAAAAGAAAATAAAAGAAAGTTGCCCTCCCACCCTCAGGAGCTTTCTGAAAATTTTAAAGAGACCATAAAGTAGCTCCTTTTGACCTGAGGAGCTTGAAGTTTGAATTTTTACCGTGGAAAGAGCTTACGAATCAACCTGAATATGTAGCGATTCTTATTATATGGTATTATAGACGCAGGCCCGCCACATCCCATCTCGGGCCCTGACACCAGTTTTAAGGTCCAGGCCCCAAGCACGGAGGGGGGAGGGTCCGAGGGGCATCCCCCGAGAAATTTTAGAATTTATACGACTAATCGGACGCAATTTGAAGCTTCCATTAAGAATTTTTCCATCAATTTCTGCGGAATAATTTTTTTTTTTTTTTTTTTTTTTTTTTTTTTTTTTTTTTTTTTTTTTTTTTTTTTTNTTTTTTTTTTTTTTTTTTTTTTTTTTTTTTTTTGGGGGGGGGGGAGCATATGATACTATTTTCAGTTCTAAGAGGGCCAGGCCCCCCTGGACTGCCCATTCGTTTGTCTATGGCAAGGGAGTTAAGCCAAGAGCCATTGAAGTCGAGGATGCCCAGACTGGAGACTCTTAGCATCTGACGACGGAAGAAAATTAAACGCAGTTACTAAAAATATCCCTCTGTACTGAAAATATTGGAAATAGATAGAAATTTTCCAAGAAGTGTACTTCTTTGAAAATTTAAGAAGAATTCTACAGTGCCCCAGCGTGTTTCTGAAAATCTATTCACCTTTTGCGAAATTTCTAGGGTAAATTTTTCACTTTTTCTTACGAAACAAGGGTTGCATGTGAATTCGTAGTGGTTTTTCAAGGGTAACAAGGGCCCCGGTACCAGGGACCCAGTATCCCCCCCCCCCCCTTGCGGCGGACCTGTATAGACGACCCGCATCTCGTACCCGCATGACGTCACGTAGCATCGGATATAATTTTAAAAATGGCAGCCGAAAGCGAAATGCGGCCATCTCAATGTTAGTGCATCTGTGTCTGTCTGTCCGGTGTCCGGTGATCAAGATCCGGTGAATGAATCTGAGTCCGGCGTCTCATTTTGTACTTTCCATTACATTCCGCCGAATTTTGTTTTTTAATTTCTTCAATTCAATGTCTTACCATTATAATTAATCCTAGCCTATTGGTGAGTTTCTAGCTTTGCCTACTTATGTTACCGCTTATGTTCTTAAGTTCGTCCTCATTAACTGTGTCTTAGTGTTCACTCCATGTTCTGAAAACTACAGATAATAGTTTTGTAAGTGACTTGGATCTTCAATTTTCATGCCAAGTACCATCACCATTCCGACTATAAGTCCAATTATTGCGATTTCTTTACTAGGATCGATTGTCATGACAATCATTCTCACAGGTTAACACCTAACATTTCTCCTAAGTTGTCACTGTACAGTGTCCAGTGTCCTCTCAGTTCTCAACTTATCCTTTCTTGCGCATCATCCATTCATTTTTAAACCACTAACTTCATTTCCAGCTACAATGGAGGATGTTTTAAGGTAAAAATTCTTCACATATTGAATCTACATGGTACCAGGCAAACCCGATGCAAACTTTCAAATTTGCATCCGACAAAAGAGGACTAAAAGTTGAATACGAAAGAAAATTGATTCAATTGCTGTGCCATGTGATACTGTCAGACAGAATTTGAGTATCTCCATGGGCTTCTGGTCTGGTTAGATCCAGCTTCTGCTTCTGTTGGTCGGAAGATTTAATTTTAACTATCCGTCTAATTTGGTGGGGCAAATTGGATGGAAAGTTGAACATAAAGTTGAAGGTGGTGTCACATTCAAAAGTTCCTGTCCAACTTTTCATCGGCTTGTTGTGTTTTTGTGTGAGAATCACACAATCCAACTTTTCATCCGGAAAAGGTGGAAGAAGAGTTGATTGAGAAATTGAACTAATTGTAAGTGAATTGGGAATGAAGGTGATTCGATGGAGGCCATTTTTTGCGTCAGAGAGACGTACGATATATCGCATCGATTTGTTCCATAATTTCAGCTAGGTACTTGTCATTTTTTTCGAATTTTGAGATCGCACTTCTGTTGTCATGAGAGTTAAGTACTCATGTACCGAATTTGACAAAAAAATGCAATGTAATAAAGGCGTGGTTTTTTTAGAGGGAAAATATCGCATTCGAGTGCAGTTTCGATATCAGTATCGAATGCGATATTTTTCCTCTACAAAAACCACGCATTTAATACGTTGAATTTCTTTGTCAAATTTGGTACATGAGTTTTTCAGTCTCATGACAACAGATGTACGATCTCAAAATTTGAAGCAAATGGCAAGTAGCTGAAATTATGGAGCTAAGTGATGCGATATATCGCACATGGCTTTGACACAAAAAATGGCCTCCATCGAATCACCTTAAGCTTTGAAGCTGGATATTGTATAAGAGTTATCTCCCACTAATACTGACAACTTTGTAATCCATGGAATAACTACTATTAAGCGGCTGAGCTCTTTGACCTTTTTGTAAAAAAACAGTCTGCAAATTTTTTGAGGCACCAACAGTGGTATAGGTATTATGAGATTCTATCAAAGTAGTAGACCATTTCTCTGTTTGATAACTAGACAAAATCATTTGCTGCATCCAGCCTCTCAGACAATCTTTATTTCAGCATCCTTAAAAATCAGAGAAAATTTTATTTTCACATTATATTTTCCAAAGATTTGAACGCAGACAAAGAAGAAAGATAAATTACGTTGAAGGAACTGTAAAGCTGTGACTTTCAATTACAGAGAGGTATGAATTTTTAGAAATCTCCCATGGGTTCATGCACATAGACAATTGAACATCATGGAGTTATGTCACCAACAGTGGGCCGTTTATTGAAAGTTTAAAGCAGCCCGATAAGACATCGAATTGTGATGTACTGCATGGTTAAGATAGGGCCGTGTCTTGTGTCGGGCCGATAGAGTTTCAATTATCGGGCGGCAGGAGCTTAAATCCCACTTTTATCATATGCTCATGTTACCTTTTGGTTTAAATCTCATCAGTTCTTCTCTATCATTTCAGACTCAGAATGGAACCACAGTACCAGATATACAAAGGGTCATCTACTAATACAGGTATCAATGTTGTTTGCTTTCAAGTTTTATGCTGTAAATAGTCTCTTACAGTCTCTCTAACAGTTTCAAAGTAATGGTGAACTAATGAGGTCTAAAGAATGAAAGGAGATGACAAAGGATTGCCTAAATTAAAACAAAAATTTAGAGCTAGTCATATTTTTTATTGCTTTGCATGATATCACAAGGTCTTTTGCATGAAGGCACAAACCCTAAAGCTCAAGCAAGACCTATTCACACAGGTTAGTTATTACACATCTTTTTGAGATCCAATCCCCTGCCCGGCCTTAACTCCGCGGCACTCAATGCTACGTCACAATTGGTGCCCCCATAAGAAATACATTGCACGCACTCAATACTACATCACTGCGCAGTAGAGTTCCAAAACTCATCATCGGGAATGACTGACCTGTGTAGATTGGTCTTGGGCTCAAGGCACCAGACAACTATCACATTCCTTTCGCATGGAAATTAAAGTTCTCCTTGTTCATTAATCGTGTGATGCTTGCAATATTTGCACCAAAAAATTTGAATGAGGGTGTTTAAAGGGCCCTTTTTAGCTCCAGTTTCCTTGAAATCAGCTTACAGTACATTCTTGCTCACAAAAAAAAAAAAAAAAATCACAGAATCTTGGATACACTTGTGGTTGAACATCTTGCAATTTAGTGGTCTGAATAGGAAATCAATACTTACACACAAATACTTGTTGATACTAATAAGTTGATAGGCATGGGCAATGGTTTTTTATCTCAAAGCAAATAGCTTTAAAAAAACAGCAATCAAAATAGTATACTTATTTTCGTCGGAAAATTTATCAGAAGCTTGTAAAATAAATAATCCGCCACTAAGTATTGAGTCCACAGTCAGCAAACACAGCAGCTCATTTCGCTGTGTTGTGTTGTCCACTCAATTATTTCTCTGTTATTGTAGACCAGAGCAAATCACCCGATATATGAGCGATAAGCGTGATCTGTTTGCTCACGCAAACTGTGAATGATTCAAATATTTGCTGTGGATCCTTGAGGTTCAGTAGTGGGTTGCACTACTTTAAGTTTAAGGGCTTAAGGAACCCAATTCTCCATAATATCCAAATCAGGGTGAACTTCAGAGGCTTCTTCTTTGTCAGTCAACCAGCTTCTCCCTCTAAATATTTCTTTTGTAGTAGCCTTTTCTCAAAATTATTTTAGTTTTGTGCTGTATTTGCTGTTTTATTTGATATTTTTTTGCCTAAATGACACCCAGGCCTGCAGTTGTAATTACCATCATTAATTTACGTAGTTCATATCCCTATTGCTTATGTAGATTGATGTAACATCTTAGTCATGACCTTCCTGCAAATCTCCTAAAAATTCAATCCAAATATAGATTGAATACTGATTGTCTGGTTTTTTAGGTGGAAGAAAAAACTTGTTTTGTTTTTATCTAAAATTCTCTTTTCCATTAAAAAATTTGATCATAAAGGTAATGATGTTTTTTTCCTGGAGCATTGTCTTAAAGCTTCTAGCTCCTAGTAAAAATCGGTCCCTCAGTGGAGTGTCCTCATCAGGCATTTTTTGTTCTTTACTATGTTAAAAATAAAAATTTGCATTCGTTCTATTAGGTTCTTGCTAATTGCAAGGATTTTTCAGCTTCAGTTACTTTTCCTATCCTATCACACCCACGGTTTTCTTGCAGACTGAACAGAGTAGATTGTAAACCTCTGAAAAGTTGATTTTAGGTTTCTCCTTAATCGAAGAGCAAGGGTTAAAATATTTTTGAGTCACTCTTTTTAGACTTGGTCAAACACCCCTTTTGCAAGAAGAGTTTTCATTTGCTCTTTCCAACAAACAGTGAAACATGCTAAGTTTTAATGTTTTCTTAAAAATCAGCCACATCGCCCTCCTCTGACACAGTCCCATGCTTCATCATTTGTAATTTGTTTATTAGCAGAGTCGGATGTATTTGCCTATTAAATAGTTCTCCCTGCAAGGTCATGTTTTTTTGAAATTCAGATTTTATAATTTTTTTTTTTTTTTATTCAAAAAAGCCTATTGGTGAATCCCGTAAATGTGTAGAATTACCCTTCTACACATTTTTAAAGGTTCTAACTTTAGAAAAAAGATCAGTTTTGGAGTGGGTAAATGAATTTTGCAGGCAATGCGAGGTACTCATATGATGGTCCAGGGCCGTATGAGTGTGTCACAAGATTTTTCCGAAAGAGATGTATATGATGTATTTCTTTTTCTTTTTACAGTTGGCCTGCTCCTCATAGTATATTTTCTGTTTTCAACCTTTGAGTGTTCGGCTTTGACATTGTCTCAAAATGATTTCGATAAAATTAAGCACTTTTTTGATGCGAATGGCTGCATGCAAGGTAATATTGAAATAGGAAGTCCTAAATATATTTTTATTTTTTTAAAACCCTCAAGTCTCTGTCTTCTTCTTGCCTATCTTGGAATTTTCTTTTTCACATCAAAGAAGTTATTCCAAAAGAAATGAAGCTCCTAGTGACATCCTAACGAGCAATTATAACTTCCTTCAGATGAAAATGCCTTTTTCAAAGCAATAGTTAAAATGGTGATCTATTGTCAAAGAAGAGCATTCTTAACTGAAGCAAGCCCTATTAAAGCAAATCCGAAGCAAGTACCCAATGGCAAAGAAAATGCAGGTTTGCGGGTCCTTTTTGGAAAGGCAAGGCTTATTAGGAAAGTGTCAACTTATCCTAAATTTTTGTGAACACGATTATGTTGGGAAATAATGAAACCTGGGTAGCACTGCACAATTTTGTGAGTATACTTAGTGACTATGGACCATTTGAAAGATGTCATGGTTTCTCGATCTATCTATGAACATTTTCAAATTTTAATCTTCAAACTTATTCCTACAAGGGTGAAATTATTTTACCAAGGTGTCAAATAAGTAATGCTACTCCCTCTAAAGTTTCGTTGTTGACGCCGAAAATAAGCTTAGTTTCTCCATCATTGACCTATTTTCCGAACCATCTAAATCCCTACAAGGATGCGTTTTTTGGTATCTGGAAAAAGATTTTCAGAAAATTCAATTTTCCTTTAAGTTGGTGGGTGACAGTATAAAAATATGGTAATTTTTGGTTTCAAGACTAGAAATTAAGTAAATGGGAGTAGCGATAGAAGGCAAGAGGAAAAAATACTCTGCTTGTCTTTTCAGACACAATACAAAGGCACCAGTATTACTTGGGGATTAGGGTATATGAGTGGATTATATCATTTGACGAGAAAAACCTTGTTATCTGTTACAGTGGACATTTTTTTATAAGCACATATTTTTCAGTGTATTTTTGGCTGCTGAATCCGTAAATGACCACTACCACCCATAAAAAATCATACCAATTCCTCAGAAAAATGCATTTTCTTTGGAAATCCTCTTTTGAGTAATACCTCGATTTTCCGGAATATTAGTGAGTGTAGGGGAAAAACTAAGGAAATATTTAGACTCAGTGCATAAAGTAACATAAGAATCTTCCATTAAACCCCATGCGTTTTTTGAGAAAAAATTTGCAGACCTATATCTCTAGTCTTGTGGGAGAATTTGCCCTTGTTTGTAGTCCTTGTGTTTTCGTTGTGCTCCTGAAAAAGTGTTAGGTTTAGGTATTTTACTATGTTTATCAATTCATCTTGAACAAATTTTAAGTGTGCTATGTGTGTATGAGATCAGAATTTTTATAGATAGTTTTTGTTTAATTTTCTCAGTAACTTCCTGGGAAGTTTGGTGAAGTCCTAAAAATGTATTGTATTTTGTGATTCCTCAAAAAAGGCAAATTTAATTGAATGATTCATGGCTGCCCGTAAATTTTTTCGGTTGTGGCTGCATGAACCATGTCTCAGTATGCCCATGTGTTAGTTGATATGGATTGTTCAAAACTCCATTTGAACCTTATTTTGCCTCATTAAACCACTAATTTTAGAATTCAAGGATTTCGGGGATTTTTTTTTTCTTCTTCTTCTTCATATCGAGGGTGAAACTCCCAAACGGAGTACCTTGTTTGAGGTGCTTAAAAATCTCCATTCCTATTTTATTTTCTGAAGAAGATCAAATCAGTGATTCCTTAAAGTTTTCATAGAATTTCCTTTGCCTGAGAAAGGAAAACTCGGGAGATCTAAATAATTGATTTTGAGTAGTTGTCCATTTAAAAAATTAAGTATGACAGGAAGTGTGCCAAGTGGCAAGTCTTACACCGTCGATATGTTGTTCTAATTTGAGTCAGAAATAGTAATCCGTTGCCTATCCAAAAAAACTTTGCACTTTTTAATTGAATTATGTCACTTTCAGGACTCATTTATGGTGCCATAAGAAGTGATTTTTAAAACAAGTCAAAATATAGCACATTTGAGAGTTGCGTCGAGTCTCTTACCTAAGAGGGAAAAATATCAATTTTCTCGTCCAGTATAGAGTTACTGGACTGGAAAATTGTCGAGAATTTAAAAGTGTTTAGAACTCTCAAAATGTTGAGAAAATAAAGCAGGTTCCACAAAAAGTCTCAAGGGGTAAAGTTGTTTTCATGGATCATATTTTTTAGCAGAAGAAAAGTTCATTAAAATTGAATCAGTAGCAATCAAGGAAGATTGCTTTGGAAACAAGCAAAATGAAAGTCTTTAACAGTAACCTTTTTGCCCAGTCATAGGGTTTAGGATGTGTCCTGTCCCCTTTTAAAATCACTGCTCATGACACCATCAATGATACCTACATATGAACGGCAAGCACTAATGAAGAAGTGCCGAGCTTTTACCATTTTGGATTTTTGGCAAATGGCTTCAGCAGCCCTTCATCATAAATCGTAGTTCATTCGTTAATGGATCACTTTTGTAATTAATATCCAAGAAAGAAAATTAACCCATTCTCACCCATTCTTTCTGCACGTCCATTTATGCATCCAAGTAGGTTCCCTTAGCTACCAATGTCTTTCCATTTTTATCTTGTTTTGTAAGTAACTGTTCTTCTGCGTACCCCTATCCTTTTTGCTTCAAACTTTTTTCCTTTGTGTTTCACCAATCTTCGGAATGTTAATGGTTGTGTGGGGGAAAAAATTCATTCTTTTTATTACCTTTGATTCTATAGTGAGAGCTAAGTACCGTCAAACTTTTTAATTAGCAGATCATAATTTATAGTGGCAAGTGCAGTACTTTGACAAAATCTAAAAAAAATACTCTCTCCAATTGTTAAATTTTTTGAACATGCACGAAAGAGATACAGCTAACTGAGGAGAGTCGTAACAGGTAAAATTATACAAAAATCATAAATGAGTAAAGGTAATTGTGTATTACAAAATTTATGTTGTTTCCGAGATGTTTTTTTTTTTTTCAAATTTACCACAAGTGTTTGAAACTCACCTTTAAGTTTTAGGAGCCATGTGGCGCATCAAGCCCGATTTTTAGGTGCCATTGAAGATTTTTTAGGGGCTAAATTGACTTTTTGCCTATATATTATGGCGCATTTAGTGAAAATATGGACGCAAGATGTTTTCGTAACAGAACTAGTAAGTAGTTGTAACTTGGGGAAGACGAAAGCACAAATGATGAAATCCTGAAGAATAGAAAAAGCTTTTACTTGTGGTGCTGAGAATTTCTAATAATCGCCTAATATGAAAATTCAGATTCTAGGGGGCAATTTTCAGGGGCCACGTTGGCGCAGAGCCTTCATTTTTAGGCGCCATGACCGATTTTTTAGGCGCATTTGGCGCGTTGGCGCCTGTGAGTTTCGAACACTGTTTACTGAATATGTGGCCAGTTGTTCTTGGTCACTGGCAAACAAGTTTGTTTTGAGGCAGACTTAAGAAAATCCACCCTGTAGAAACAAGCAATCTCGCAAAATATCTCTGGAGTATGATTTCAATCTTTTGCAAGCGTGTTTTCTTTTTTCACATTTCCATGTGTTGCAAAACCAAACGTTTCAAATCAATGGACCATTATACGAAGTACAAAACTAAGCACCATAATATATGTTTCCTCATCAAAATCTTACGCACAATACAATGAATGCACGAAAAATTTCCAAATCCAGCTCTAAAGTGTGGACATACGTAACTTTTTTGTTAATGTCAATGCACACTTCCCGCTATCAGAGAACCAATTCAACTACAGTCAATGACCTCTAAACGTAACTCCTAAACCACTGGCGAAATGTTTCAAGATAGGTGAATTTTTTTTACAAGATTAGAGGTACCTTGTTTAAGAGAACCTTGAAAAGTATCTTGAAGAGAAAGGAAATCGGGGTGAAACTAAGCTCCAGTTTCTTTGCCTAGGTGTGACTGCGGTAGTAATTGGTTTTTGTAAGCGGTAAGTTGCAATTTACTTTTTATAACTGTAACTACGAACGTTTTTTTTCTTTTGTCAGTTAATTTTCAAAATGTTTGGTATGTTCAACATGTTCTGTGCAACATTTTGATGGGAAAACTTGTGCTGCAGTGCTTAATTGCCATTGAAACTCAATGGAAAGTAATTATTATTGTCTGTTCACTCAGGTCAGGTTTTCTTACATTTCTCTCTGGGCAAACCTGGTTGTAAGCTACTAAAAAAAACTGTCCCTAAATGCGGCAAGTTACAAAAAGCGCTTCATAGACTTTGCCAATTGTGCATCAAGGAGTGGGCTCTAGGCGTTTTTGATGTGCTCAATGTGATCTTTGTATCATTTTACCTGTCCTAAGTACTTGCTGTAGGCTTATCACTTATGTACAACAGATTTATTCTCCCGAAACTTTGATTGAGTATCTAAGCCCTGTATGTTTGATTTCAGGTACCTTAACTGCAGAGGTTATGGCGCCGCCTGTAACTACCTCGGGCTCTCAAAGCCCTCCAGGTAAGCATATTTAAAACCATCCCTGTGGCTTTCTGCTCATCTAAGTGGAGGAAGTTAAGTTGATTCCCACCTAAATTTTGATGGGAGTATGGCCAAAAAATACCTCTCTCAAAACTACTAAACTGCCATTTTATCATTTTTGTAAGTGGGCCACAGACGCTTCAAAAACAAAATTTCAAAATATTGACAGTAAGATATGCTTGCTGAAGTAGCGAATTTATGCATCCAAACTTAATCGTTGCAACGTTTGTGCTCCAGAGCACAGTACACCAGCCAAGAGGTTCAGGGCGCAATATTCAGAGTCATCGTATCAAACTTTCTTTCCACACGTGAAAGAATCTTCAGAACTTGTTGATTGGGATTTCCTATCATCTGCAACTCAATCTGCTCCAGTTTCAATGGGATAATAACTTTGACAATTTTTAACTTTAAAAAGTCAATATGATGCATTGAATAGAATTGTGTGAGGAATGTACCTAATTATTTTGCTGCAAACTTTTGTTCAAGAGAAGAGTATTGAAGGAAATTTTCACCCGTCAAGAAACATTTATCTCTCTTGAAGGAAACAAAAATTCAAAGAAATTTCTGAAACTCCAGAATAAAATAGATGATGCCCCTATTATATTTTGACCATCAGCCAAAGTAATTTTAATATGTTATCCTGTGTTTCAGTGACCAAGGTTCTACTAGATGACAAAACGACAGAAAAGTGCTATGCTCCTTCATCACAAGCCACTGTGCCTTTGAATAAAGAAAAAACACCCATGTGTCTAGTAAATGAGCTTGCTCGCTTTAATAATGTAAGCACTGAGTAAAGTTTTTAGTACAGAATATTTCTTTGTTTTCAGTAACAAGGTTTAATCAATTGTTTTAAAGGATTTGAACTTGTTGATGTAACATATTTGATACTGATACTGTATGCAGAGCATCCATTTGTATCACCACCATCAGTACAAACATTCGGTGGCAGACCCCCTGGGGATGGGTGGGATCCTGACCAAAAAAATTCTGGAAAAATTTGAAAAAATCAAGCATGTTACAAAGCACATACACTACCATTCACTGTGCTTTGTTAGTTAAGCAATGAATACACATCATCTTTTTGCGTCAGTTCTTGTCTATTACTAAGTGTCCCCAGGCTGTGGGGAATATTTCATTTTCGTTCCATCTATGTACTTTTTACAGAATTTCTGCCCCTCCCCCTCTTATAATCAGTCAAGGAGTGTTTCACCTGCACAATGTATTAAAAAAAACAGCTTTTGCATTATTTTTTCAACTTGACGATAACCATTTAAGGACAATATTTTTCAATTCGTCAACTATACAAGTTACTTTTGGTTCAACTTGACACAGGCGTTCTCTGTCAGTTGTTGTACTCAACTTGTTTGTTTTTCTCATGCACATAGATTCAGCACGAGTATCGTCTCACTGACGAAACAGGTCTAGCTCATAAAAAGGTTTTCAATGTAACCTTAAAATTGGGCACAGAGGAATACTCGGCGCAAGGTTCACGTATAAGACAAGCTCAGCATGCAGCAGCTGAAATAGCACTGAAAGAAACGAAGTACAAGCCCCCAGTCGCAAAAAACAAAAAAATCCAACCGAAATCTCGTAAGCACTGATTTTTTTTATTCTCCTTTGTTCTCCTTTACCAAGAGGTTTGGTTCATTTTTTTTTCAAGTTTCTTGTTTCTTATTCCGTTTTTTTTAAATTTTTTTTTTAAAAAAACATTTCTTTCATTCATTTCTTATTTCATTTTACCCCATTTTATGAATTTTTTTTTTTCATTTTATATTACTTTTTTTGTCTTATTTTTTGAGCATACCTAGGTAAAAATAACAAAATTCTCTAAGTTTGCATCCAAATACTGCTGCCTTTCCCCTGACTTTGCACTACCTACAGACAGGATAATTTTCCTTGGAGCTTAAGGTTTAAAAGTACCCAATTAAGAGCCTATTTTTAGAATTATCAAAAATGGATGAAAGAGAAAGGGTATATGTAGGTGAGCTGAGTCCCTCTACCTTTTACCACTTGGGGTCTGAGGATGCTTTAGGCTTTCTAGATTGGGATCGTTAGTTGATAGTTGTCCAATATTATCATGACCATCTATCTTGTGATAACATGATGTTTACCCTTTTCCATTGAGGGAGATAAACAATCATTAGGTCATAGTTTATATGCTCGTTTAGACGAGTTATTTTAAGATAAATTAGGCTTGGAGTTTCTGGAAAATGGAATGTTTCTGGGTGATTGGGTGTAAGGGGAAAAAATATATTCTATGCTCAAATGCCTGGAAAAAAAGCAGTTGTGTCCATTTTGTTGCAAATGTCAGCTGCCCTTTAACTGTATGTTGCTCAAAGTCGGGGAGAGGTGTGGCTCATGTATACCAAGGGTCAGGCAGGGCAATTCCAGATGCAGGAATTCCTGGATGAGTACTGTCCCAAGGCTAGGATTCAGTTTGGTGTAATTTTGCCCCAGGAGGTGCGGTATCGCGTTTGGTTAATAAACCTAAGAGTGGTAGTGGGTCGTTCACTTTTTTTCGAGGCTGTTGATAACAAATTGATTTTGGCTCATATGTTAAAGTTAAAGTAACTCCCCTTTTAAAGATCCGAAAGTCTCAGCATCTTTTTGACAAGCCTTTTCTCATGTCGTATACATATTATTTCAAAGTCACTAATACTTTCAACGGTCGATTTCAACCAAGATTTTGCAATCAACATCTCTCCTCTACTACTAAAAAATACTCTTTAGGCTCAGAATCAACACGATGTTAATGCGCTTCAAAACAAAGTAAACAAACCACTTGCAAGTAGAATGTACCACTTCTATTCTTAGTAAAGACAATACTAAAAATGCGCAGGTTTAGTAAAACATACCCAAAATTACTCCATTGCTGTCAAAGGTAAATTCTGACACTTTATCGAACACAACTCTAAAAAAATGGAAACTGACTAACAACGGTATAAATATATGCAGGAAGAGAGTGGGACATTAAGACCCTGAACATGTACTTGCCTAAGTGTTATAATTGAATTGAAACTATGGAGCAACCTATGGGAGGGAAACCAAAAAAACCAGTGACTTTAACTCGAAATTGACCGCCTAATTCTATCGTCTCCTTTATCTTGGCATTGTTGCTTTGCTGCAAGAATTGAGTGCATTTTAATGATGTGCAAGTGTGCTTTATGTCCTGCACCTGTATCCTCTAAATCTCAGGGGACGAAATGAAAGAAATTAAAAGTTCTTCTGAATAATTTTTAATCTTCTCCTCTGATTTTTATTTTTATTTCTCATTTGTTTTTCAGATGAAGTAACCCCGATTTTTGAGCTTAATTCATTAGCAATGAGAAGGGGAGAACCTACGGTTTATCAATATCTGAGTGCACCACCAGATAAGCCTCACCAGGTATATAAATTGATTGCAATATGACAGGAGACACATCATGCATGAATATGTGTTCTAATGTAACTTTGGAATGAGAATTTTACCAGTGAATTTCGTAAGCTCCTAAGCAAAAAATTGAGTCCAACCAAAAAAGTCCTTTATCACCGCAGCAAAGCAGCCTGGCAAAAGACAGCCAGCAAAAAACATCTGCTCTCATGAACCAAATGTACAAGTAAGATAAACATTTTCTTATCTCTATATGAAGTGCCTCATTCCATTCACCAGTGTCTAAAATAAATTAGGAGGCATTTTTTTCTTGTCGACATAGCACTTGTCCAAAATTAAGAAATTTTGTGAGAAAGTAACAGACAATCCAGGAAATTCTCTTTTAGGTTTCTTGTGTAGAAAATCCTGGATTGATTTTTTTTGGTGTTATTTTGATAAGTATGCACTCATTATTTTCCATTTTCAGCCCAGACCACGGCAGACTAACTGGATGTACAATGGACCATACAAATATAGTCAACCTCGAAAGTTTGTAAGTTTTTTCCGCACTCTATTTTTCTTACATATTTAAATAGCACAGAAGAAACTAATTATGTACATCGAAAGGAATCCAATCCTGAAAAATCCTCCCTTGCAAGCAGTTCCCAAAAATACAAGTTGTTTCTTATAGAAAATGTCTCAAAAATTACGATGAACGCATCAGCAAAGTCTGAAATACACTCCTAACTCCATAATCTGCGTTAGAAATTTGCGTTTTTTTGAGCTTCTTGCTTCAAAATCGATGCTACAGCACAGATGAACATTTTGTTTGAAGAGCCGGTCCATTTAACTCCTACGCAACAGTGCCCCAGCTTTTCTCTCATTTCAGGTCTTACACAGTCGAGAATTGAAGGGATGCATAGGACCCAAAGGAATTCAAATTTTATCCTCAAGCTTTTTCAGTAACCCTCAGGGAGTAAACAGGGAGCTCAATTTTTGGAAAGTGGAGTTTCTGTTGATATTTTAAAATCATTTCATCAAAATAAAAAATTATGGAAAATTTTAACCTAAATTGTTACCATTAAGTCCAAAATTGGCTGATTTCAGTCCAAAAGACAGACCCTGGTAGTTGGAGGACAGAGCCCTCCTTGATAAAATGTCGGATCGCTAAATTGATGTAGAAGCCTGAAAAAAAGGCAGTATCATTCGCCCCAAGGTAACAGAATCAATCACCTAAAGCCCTCAGGAGCTTCTCTGAAAGGGTGCAAGATAACCTCTTGACCTCTGAAAATTATAAGCTTAGCCCTTCCCCCCTTTACCTCATTGACGAAGCCCTAGAGGACTCAAGAATGATAAGATTTGAATTCCTTGGGGTTAACTGCCCGTGAAAGCAACTTTTTTCAGGCTTTGTGTCAATTTTGCTGACTAGTGTTACCTCATTTTTTCTCTCCAATTCTTTTTTTTTTTTTTGCTTTTGTTTTGTTTCATTATTATATTTTTTGCCCTCATCTAGTCTTTTCTTCCAACTTTTCAGATGTTTCACCATGATCCAAATGCCTTTAGTGTAAGTGTGAAAGTAGGAGACCGTGAATTTATAGGCACGGGACCTACGTCCACTGCAGCAAAAAGAGCTGCAGCTTTGAAAGCACTGAATGAACTTAAGAAACTTCCCATTAGCGAAAATAAACCAGAAATATCTAATTCTAGTAAGTGTTCAAATTTCATATTGGTGGTTCAATTCGTTAATTTTTTGCTTGAACAAAATTATTTCTCAAAGGTTTACCTCTGCAGAAGTAATATATACCAGTATAGATTTAATAAATAATTAATAATTAAATATTAATGTAGCTTATCCTTCTCCCAGATTTGTAGAATCATCAGCCCTTGAGTCTATCAACTGTTTATCTTTTAATCGGCAACCACGCATTGTTACGACCTCTCATTGATGTCAGTCATAGCACCAACTGCCACCGAAAATTTAAAAGTGTGTCAGACTCTTAAAGATTTCTGAAAATTGCTAGATTTTCCGTGATTTTAAATAAAGTGAGATTCGATAGGGAATCTTGAGAATTGAGGCGTGAAATTTTAGGGATGTTCCCAAACAAAGGTTTCAACTTTTTGGGCTTCCAAAATTCTTTGGATAATCTATTTAAAGGGGTAAAAACCATTTTAATTTTTGTCGTTTGCCAGGAGGAAAAACAAACTTGATTTAGGAATTACATCTTGTTCGGGAGACATAATATGTGAGCCAGTTACAAAAAGTCAATAGGTTCCCAGTAAAAGTGTGTAGTGTGTAGTAAGTTGTGATCTTGAACTCAGTGCTACTGCAACTTTCTTGCCTTAGTTATGCACTTTTTCATCGAAGCAAGCTGAAAATATATCCAGTGGGTCTTCCCAAGCACGATTTGGATGCCTTGCAGTAGTTAGTGCTATTTTTCCACAGAGGAAAAATTTTCAAAAGATTTTACTTGCTGTTACTTGCTGTAGATTTTACTTGCTGCAGGATTTTGCTTGCTTGTTTTTGCTCATTGCTTTTCTGATGCTAAAAATAAAGGAGACAGCTGTTCAAAGGTTTATCCTCTCTCGGCTAAACTAAATTATTGTTAGAGCTGGTTTATTGTGTAACATGTTTGGCAGTTTAAGTACATGCATTAAATCGAACCTACAATCGAAGATTCAACAATATTTACTTCAACCTGTGATTGCTAAACCTCAACAGGCAATGATATTTTCCCATCTAGTGTTTCCATCGCAAGTGGTCAAAAACTGTGCGTTGTACTTGTTTGTATATTTTAATTTATTGGATTTTATTTTTTCAGTAGATGGCGTTTCAAAAGAAATTGATTCAGCAGCCGAACTAAAATCCCCAATTTCTCTTGTATATGAATTAGCACTGAAACGAAATTTAGAAGTGGTTTTTGACACAGTTGAAGAAAAAGGACCTCCACACATGCGCATTTTTGTGACAAAATGCCACGTAGGTGATGCTTTTGAGACTGTAGGGGAAGGTAACTCCAAAAAAGCATCGAAAAAAAAGGCTGCGGAAAAAATGCTAGAGGATCTGAAAAAGTTGCCCATAACAACCACAATCAATCCCTCAGGATTTGTCGTGAAGAAAAAATCCACCAATAACAAGAAAAAACGAAACTTAATCAAGGTAATTATTGAATTATTATCTTTCTTTTAGTTGTGTCTTTCTAAACTTCTTATTGTGTATTAAATGGATAGTGTAGGGGGAAAACCAATAATTTCTGTAATGAAACACTTAAAAATACATGCTTTCTATAGAAGAAAAATATGAACTGAAAAAATAATTTCAGATTGCTCATATTTGTACATAATATTCTCCTTTAGAAAAGTCTTTCATTATGTCGAAATGATTATTATTTTCATCTGCATGTAGGAACACAAGACTGATGAACAGGATAATACAGAGGCTAATCCTGTCTCAAAACTCATCCAACTTCAACAAGCAAGAAAAGAACGTGAACCTGTTTTTATCCTGAAGCACGAGCGGTCGATGGGAGCCTACAAAAGAGAATTTTCTATGGAGGTAATTGTATGATTTACTAGCCCTGTGTTAAGTTCGACAGTATTCCATAGATGTACCTTTATTAGAAAAACCGGAAAAAGGTTATAAGGTCCTGGAGGCTATACTAAAAGGTCTAAAACCATTTTATTTTTTCACAGAGATAAAATTTCATGCCAAAAGAATGTTTCTTCCTTGTAGATCTACTAAGATTAAGTAGCCTCTAATTTGTTTCAAAGCAAATGGAAAATGATTATGAGGATAGTTAATGAAATTTAAAATGATGGGGAAAAAATTGGAAATAGAGCCTAAGTTTGGTTTGATGTAAAATACAGTGATTCATCTTGACTGCTTTGTATGCCAAAGGAAACAATATTGAACATCTGTCCTGTCCTCCGCAGAGCTTCAATGAAAAAACAATTCTTTAAAACAGTCTAATCAAGGTGCAGCTCTTGCTTTTGCTGTCAATCCTTGAATTATCAAAGCTTGAAGTTATATTATTCCCTTTCTCCTGCAATGTTCTAGCTGATTATGCTTCCACCAACGCCATTGATCTATTGGTGATCATCTGGGCCAATGACAGCCAAGTCAGAAAAAATCACAAACTGCGAAAAGTTCGAAAAACAAAATGTACAAAAGCACTGTAAAAATGCTTTCTTTTGAATGTTAGACATTTGTGGGATTTTGCAGTCACTGCAGAAAAATTTCATGCATTTCACTGCACATTTTGCTAATTCTTGTTGATCTCGCACCAAAATGGAATTTTATTTTGTATTATTTTACTTATTATTTTTACAAGCTGGAGATCATAATCAGTGCTCCTTTTTCATTTTAATTGGATAATTTTCAAATTTCTGGGAAATTTTGCTGCTGATAACAATACCCTTCAACTCTAACCTTTTTATCTTCATTTTTCAGGTGTCAGTTGGTGATGTCTCAGAAATTGGAGTAGGCCCAACAAAAAAACTGGCAAAGCGTAATGCTGCAAAAAAATTGTTATTAAAGTTAGGGCAGGTGCCAACTGCACCTGTTAGACCAATAAAGAATGATGATAAGGTATGAAAACTCTCTCAATTATCAGTTTTTATTGAAAACATAAATCAAAGCCTAAAAAAGTACTGTGGAATCTGAATAAGTCAGATTATTGATTAGTAAGTAAATAAAAAAAGTCAGATTTATAGTGATTGCAATGGTGATCTGAGGGCATCGAAGTTACTCAAATCTTGATCCAATTTGAACATTCTAAATTTCACACTGACAAGCTTACTTTTGCTTTCAGATGCTTGGAAACCGTTCTTGTGCTACTAATTATCTATCCAAAGTTATTTTGTACCCCTATGTTCTTTTTTTCGTATTGATGGTTGAATTTTGGCTTTTTTCAATTAGGTCTTATCACAAGATGCAACTCCTAGCATTAGTGATAAAACCAGTGGTGGAAGACAGCTTGCCCCTGGCCTTTTATTAGTTCCGAAATCTGAAGGGAATAAAATCACACGTAAGTTTGCTCTGTACGCACCTTTTTGTAGTTTCAATCAAAGTTGGCCATTAGTTCAAGTTTCTCATTCTTATCTCTTTCAGTCAAATCAGGCCTACCAAAGAAAAAAAGTTACCTTTTCAAGTGAAGAAAGACTTTTCTTCATCATTATCAAATTAAGTTATTTAAGAAGACACAGGACACAATTTCAACAGGACAAGTCCCAGTTACATCAAAAATAATAACAAAGGCAATAATATATGCAACAGAATTGGCTAAAAAAAAATATGCTTAATAACTAACAAGAACCTGTTCTTTCACTAATGACTTAAAATTAGTAATATTTAGGCCAAAAAATTTCATCCACTCAGTACAATTATTTGCAAAATCTGAAATCCTAGGAATTACAGACCTACGCTTCCAGGTTACAGGAGATGAAGGGCTGACAAAAAAAAAGTCTTAAATTATGAAGAGATCTAGAAGAAATATGAATATGTATGGAACTAAGGAGAATAGGCGAATGAATAAAATTATTAAGAAGTTTAAAGAAAAACATAACATCATAATAATGCCATGTAGAAACCAAGGAACATAAGTTAAGTTGCTTGGCAATATTCTTGTAAAAATGATCATGAACTCCTAAGAGGCTGTTAGTACGATACAATGCAACCTTTAAAAAACTATGATGAACTTTTTCAAGTTTACATATGTTAAGGAAAGTATGAAGGAACCAAATGGGAGGAGCATAAGTTAAAATTGGTAACACTAAAAACTTAAACAAAGAAAGAAGAGACTGAGCATCTTGAAAATATAAGGTAGCTCTTCTAAAAAAAATTGATTTTCGAAAGTTTTTACCAACAATAAAATCAACATGATTATTAAATAATAACTTTGGATGAAAAATATTTCCAAGATCCTTTACATTATCAAGACGGGATATGGTTTCATTATCAGAATTATTAGACTCAGATTAAGAAGAAACATTCAAAATTGGAAAAGAAAAGAAGATTTCAGAACTCTCATTTCAAAAGGAAAACTAAGCTTTTTTTAGTACAGCTGTTAAAGTCCCTTTCTAATATAAAGTTATTATTTTTTCAGATAATAACAATTTCAAACAAAATTTAGAAAGTCTAGCTCAAGACTATCTGTATAAATCAGGTGACACCGGTGAAGACTGCGATGCCATTAGACCAACAGAAAAATTAAACTATCTCTCTCAGTTGCTTGGCTTCAAAGTCCAGTATACTGATTTCGCAAAGGTAATTATATTTCACTATCACTTGACAGTCATATTGTAGAAAGGATCTACCCTTTTTACGAGCCTTGGCAAAATATTTACCTGCAACAGCTTAGGCATTTCACTATTACTTGAACGTTGTTTAGTAAAAGGAATTTATCTACTTTAAGAGTTTTGAGGAAAGACTTACCTGCCACGTAAGAGGATAATGGAAGTAGCAAACCTCATACTATGCAACTCGGAAAAAAATGAAATTGCTGATTTAACAATTTTATGGTTAAAAAAGTGTCCGACATGTTTCAATGTAGCTTTTACAGTAAAAAATAGTTAATTTTACCTTATCTCTGGTTAAATTAGCTTTCCACTATTGTAAAATGTACTTTTGAAGCATGTTTTTTAACAATTTAATTGTTACATCAGCAGTCCATTGTTTCTGTGTAACACAAGAAGAGTCACCGATAGAACTCCTCAGCGTGTCATGAGAGGCCAAAGCCACTGACAGGTTTCTATGTACCTATTTAAGCCAGACCCCGCCTGCTGATTGGAATTGGTCTAACATTTGTCAGTCGAGGGACGAATGCTAATATGTTCTATACATATGTTTAAATTTTTACATTTGCTCTTGTTTCTTTGTATTTACTTAATGTGCAGTGAGATGCAATTTTTGACAGGTTGAATATTCACGAATGAAAGAGCGTTCTGACTATCAAGTCGGTAATTTAAGTCAAATCTCTTATCGGTGATTCGCTCAGCTCAACCTAATACTTCTCTTTTGCCTTTGATTTCAGACCTCTCAAAATGATGTCCCAGTTCTTAGCTTGGTTTCTCTTACAACTACACCTCCACAAGTCTGTCATGGTCAGGCCCTCACAAGGGAGTCCTCTCATGATTTGGTATGTTCCAAATTCGATTGTCTCATTCTGTCATTCCTCCTTCGGAAGTGGCTTTAGAAGTGTAATCATAGTCTGATTTCACCGACCAGAATGCATACCAATCAATGAGAATCATTTCAAGGGAAGTGAAAGTAGTCATGGGTGTAAAATCCTTGTGACCATGTGAAACATGGGTTGTAAAAAATGATTGATGCAGATTTACCGTGGTGAAAAACGGTTCGTCCAAAATGCTTTGTAAAAAATTTTCAGGAAATTTCGACGATTTATGACTTTCGACTTTTCGAAAGACGTTTTGAGTGAATATTCAAAGTAAAGAGAGGAGGAGAAAGAAAAAAGGGAAAAAAGAGTCATCACTTTGTAAAATTTGGAAAAGTGAGGGAATTTATTTGGAAGCGAGTGAGGAAAAAATCCTGGATCGCGTGAAACGTTCGGCCAAATGACATTTTTGCACCCCTAAAATCAGTAGTAACCCACCAGGTATATGCACATAATTTAGGAGTTCATCATAAACATTAACAGAAATTGAATCCAAGAAATATTTTTAAGCCAAACAGTCAGAAAATAAAATGATAGGCATAATGTGAAATGAAGAAACTAAAGGAACAGCATGAAAATTATAATGATGAATAAGACAAAAAATAATGTAACTATGCTCTTTAGCAACACTTTGAACTTAATCCACACTTCTTTGTTTTGAAGACGGTATAGAATATCCTCAAATTCATTTGAGTTTCATCATGCTCACTAAATAAGTTCACACACTTTTAGACTGTGTAAAAAGATCGGTTATCTTGATTTTTGCTTATACTTTTAATGCTAAACTGAAGTCACATAATCCACTATCCTCTGTTGTGGTCTATGAGTGCTTAAACTTATTTGTTTATTCTACCCTCCCAATTATCTTGAAAAAAAGTTATGCTGGATGTCAGAGACGTCATTAACCTCTAAGTGTTGACATGAATCAGATCATGAAGCATCAGATTTTTTTTTTATATGAACATTACTGAATTAACACAAAATTATTGAAGTTATTTACCTTATAATTGCCTCAATTTTCACTGTTGTATTCATCTCCTCATTGCCTCATTGACTTTTACTTTCATGATGAGCCACTCGGTTTTTTGTTTTTCAACCCATTAGAGAGCCTTTTTCAACGATTTACATATCAAGTATCTTCTGTGGCATCATGCATATTCCTCACAAACGAATGAATGAATAAATTTTAATACTTTCACAATATTTTTGATACCATCTTAACCCTAAAATTTTTTTCACAGGCTGCTGCCAATGCTCTTAGAGCGCTAGCAGACATGGGCTTAGATTCTATTGTCCCAAATAAGAAGGAATCATCAGTCGGTCCAGGTGGAGACAAGTAAGTTTTTAAGCCTCTCTTTCTCTTTAATTTCTGCAGTGTCAGTGTGCTGCAGTAATTTTTTCTTCCTACAGAAATTTTACCGTCTCCCAAAGAGTTTTATAGAAAAAGCACAAATTTTTGGGAATATCCCAAAAAAAATTTTTTGGAAAAGCAAGGGAATTGCAAGGAAATTAAATGGTGAGACAACAGGAGGCATGGTGTTGGTGTTTTTTTTTTTTTTTTTTTTTTTTTTTTTTTTTTTTTTTTTTTTCAATGCACAAACTTACTTAGATACATACAGTTGTAGTTTGGGAAACGCAATCACAAGAATTTTGGACAGCAAATAGAATACCTGTACTGAAGAAAAGGAGAGGAAAAATAATTGATAAATGGAAATGATTTTGAACTGGTTGCATAACTTGCATTATCCGCAAATATTTCCAGTTTGAAGTTATTTCTTTTCTCTTAGAAAAAAATAATTACCACAAAAATTCACTTGATATTAGCCTTGCTCTATTATATACACCCCTTAGATAAAAGAGCTATAGATTTCTAAAACATCCATCAGTTTTTAAGATGACAAAATGTCCCTATCTGTAAAGTAACAGATGTTGACATCTGTACCGTCTACATGTAAGACCCTGTATGTATGTCTAATCCACAAGTGCTTTGACCAAATGCAATAGTATCCTACAAAGGATTAACAATTTTGATGGAAATTATATCAGGCAGTACTGTGCCCTGAGAAATTTAGGAAGAAATGTCTTAGTCTTGGATTTAATTTGATACCCATTTAAAGCCAGCCCCCAAATCACAGTGGCAACAGTCAGAGGAAACCCAAAAATGTCAGAGAATTCGCTTTTTGTTTGGGAAGGAGACTGTACTTGGTATTTGGACTAGGTGGCCATGGATTCTTGTTTTCTAAAGTTAAAGAATGTCACCAAAATCAACCAGGGATCTCTCTCAGAAAGGTCAGGGCTTACATGTTTGAATTTAGCACTTGATAATTGTTACTTTCAGAATCATCCTTCTGTTTTAACTGTTTGTTGCTCTTTTTAAGCTTTTTAGTTTAATTGAGTGTTCTCAAACTAATACGCATACTTACAATCTTTATCTTTTTATTTTTCAGTTTACTCGGTTTGGTGAACGACAATGTGCCATTCATGAATATGAACGGAATACCCAAATAGAGAACTGCGACTTCACAAAAATTTCACAACTATTGAATTTAATTTTTAAAAAATTTTACGTACCACTGATGTGAAGTTATTTTCTTGTGATCATTACCTTTTTTTCAGTTAGCTCAAACTGATAACTCAATTTTAAATACATGGAACTCATCATATCTTTAAAATTGAAATTAATCGTTTTTTTGTTGGTTATTGTCCGGTGTCAGTTGCTTAGATATTTAAGTCTCGGCTGCAATCTTATTTGACTGCATGGTTCCAAAAGTTGGGACACAGTAAAATAGCAGACATTTTCATTTGTACTCAGTAGTTTTGTAGAAGCCGAAGAGGGAAACAATGGTGCTTAGGGCAAGTCATACCATACCTGAGCAAACTTTTTTCACACCAGTAGTAGACTCAGCCTTAGTCACCGCTGAGGCCACCGGCTGTATGAGCCATCATCAGAGACACTGTTAAGGGGGTGCCCTACTTAACTTTCTTAACTCTTCACTCTCTGTCTGAGACTGAAATAAAGGCTCTGTTGTGAAACTTTAATTGAAATTCAGATTTTCAGCATGCTCTTGTATGAATAATTTGTGAATTTTCACCACAGCAATTTTTCATGAAATTTCAACATAAAACTGCATCTCAGCCCTCCATACTTAAACTAAACCTTTATCGTCCAGTGAAATGATATACTGGCACCACCTCTAGACTTAAAATTAAATTAAAAAAGTGGGGGAAAACCTCAAAATTGCTGAATGGAGGGAATCAATCTGAATGTTGGTGACAGTAAAAGAAGAGCTCAAAAAACGGAATTTTTTTTATGACGATGTGGCTGGAAGAAGCTCCAAAATGTGTCTTAGACATGTCAAGTTTTCAAAAAAATTTGGGGAGTTCCTAGTTCCACTAAGGGGGATGAAATTTTAATTCAAGTGACTGACTAAGCCAAAACCAATCCTAATAACCAACTGTCATGTCCAATGAATTTGTAGGACAAAATCAGATTTCAATGTTTCTGGTTTTAGAAAGAGTCCTCTTAATGATGAATGTGTGTTCCCAAATTCATCGCTAAAAGTCCTCTCAGCAAACCTGATTAAAAAATAGCAACTTTTGTTACATAAAAGCAACATCGAAACGTTGCAATACTGTATGTGTGTAAAAAAAAGTGACAAAAGTTTGCAGTAGGCTTATTTTGTCAATTACTTAAAATTATGGCTGCAAAAATTATTTGTTATGAAAAAGAGAGTAGGTGAGATTATTATTGTAAAATTTAGTTTCTAGAATTTTTAAGTTTGTTTTTTTTTTTAAATGTTTGTATTTATCTATGTTTTTACCTTTACCCTAAGTTTCATCATAGGTACTACTTTTTGGTTGGAAAATATTAAGGTGAAGGCAAAAAGCTTGATTTTGGATTGGTACCAAGAGTGTAAATCGCTATTTTTATCAGTCCTAAAATTCTGAATAAGTTTCTATCTAATTTTTTTGTTTGTTTTTTGAAGCAGTGATTTCTTGACCAATTTTTAATTTCTATTGGAGGCAAACTTACACAACTTAAGCATCAAGCTTTTTAGCCAATTTTAAATAATTTCTCATATAAACTTAAAATACCTGTTTTCCAGAGACCTGCCTAGGTTCATATATATACTGTTTCATTTAACTGAAGTTCAAAAGTTACTGACTGTCAATATTATCCACAATTTTTAATTTTGTCAAATTAATCTATCGGCAGCTCAAACTGTATTTTAAAGTGAAGTACCCATCATTGCAGTTGCCCATGTGACCTTATCAGATGTTATACAACGTTAACTGTTGAAGTCGTTATTTTGCCTGTAGGTGTTAATTATGTTCTATCGTGTACCAGTGATTTTTTGACCCCCTTTTAAGATTTGTTAAGTTGAGCTGAAAGGAGGTCTCTTCAAAAAAATTGAAATCAATTTTTTTTCAATTAATTTGATTGTGTAGTGTAAAACTTCTTTCTGTCTGTAAAAGTTTGCATTGCAACCAAAATCTGAAATACTTCATGACATAGTTATTTTAAAACTTATTCTTTGACCTGTGCAATTCTGCACTGAACATGCTCTACATTTTTTAATTATCCTGCACTTGTACATAAATTCTTAGTTTTCAATTTTAAAGTTAAGGAAGAATCTCGTCACACTTACCAAAATTGACCGATGACAAAAATGCCTGTAGCCTTGTCAAATGTTAAAAATGCTCTCACCTTCTGAGGTTCACCTTCTGAGGTCATCGAACAGTGCAGGTGGTGTAGGCAGAAGATTCCTAACGCAGTGCTCATAAGGTGATTGATAACGTTTCAAATTTAAATTTCCCTCTAAAAACCTACACTTTTTGCATCTTACATCTCAATTGTTTCTTCTTTCACAGCTAGAAGCCTAGCCATTCATGTCCATAAACGTTCCTCAACTACATTGTTTAGTGTATGTCCTGTATTGTACGATGGCACCTCATACTCATCAGGTGTTGTTTACTTACATGTTTTTTTATTGAAAATTTAAATCCTGTCATCAAGAGCTTTCAAAAATTATATTTTGTTGGCGTAGGTGAGTCCAAGAACACTCAATTGAATCAATGACTTGGCAGTTTTTTTTTTCTTCTTCATTTTTCTTAAAGCAATCCAGGCAGCAATTATTGCCTATATTTTGCCTTGGGAGTAGCACTCAGTGATGGCTCCAATAAAATAATTACTCTTGCTTGAGCAATAAAAATAGTCTCTTCTATCCCCTCTCTGCTTGGAAAAAAAAGGAGGGTGGTCAACTGTTCTTGTTTTTCTTCTAGTTCATTGCTCAATGTTCAGTTCTTTGCAAGGCACAACATTCATTTAAGATTTCAAGATTCAGTGTCGACTTTCCAGCAGTGATTCTAATGTGTCGATAATGTTTTCTCTTCATTTAAATTTATGTACAATAATTGACTCAAGTTGAGACAGGCTGCCTCACACATTATTGATAGTTCTAATGAATGTAAATGGAGGACCTTGCAACTTGCAAGAATCGCCACTGCTGTCGCGGTTTAAGGTAGGAAACTTGCCATGATTTTACAGCCAATGTGTTTTTGGACTTATGCCTATGAACTTTCACCATGCAATTATAAGTTTGATAATGAAGCCTTAAAAATAATTTAGTGGTTTGATCTGTATTATTACATTTATTTTATTTGTTTCTTATTTCTTTCTCTTACTTATGAATGGGTTCTCCTCTCATTTCAATGCACCTTTGCTGAATTCCAGTTCCCGGGGATTTTTATGCATATCTTACGATTATTTTTCATCAAAAGAGCATTGATTTCACTTTTATGTATTTTGCTTCCTTTTTATTTTTCCCAGTCGCAAATTTTACCCTCTTTACTATGTTCAACAGTTGTTTCATCCATTTTCTAACATCATAAGCCTTTTTATGTTCAAGCTCTGTCTGCTTAGAATTACCAGATTGTGGTAAAATATAACATTTTCTCTTTTAATAGATTTTCCTTTACTCTATTTTAATTCCTCCCCCCCTTTTCAAGCAGTGTCACATCTTACCAACACACCTCCAAGTTTCAGTTGAGCGCTGCTCATTGTAATACAAATTTTTCTACAGGAAAAATGGCTTGATTCATTAATGATTTGTTATGGAGCGAGGGTAATACATAGTGACTTAAAAGTAAGGATTGAGCAAATAAAGCTTGAATTTTTTTTTCAGTGGTTTTATTGTAATAAGAAAGTAAAAATGAAGTACAAATTAATAAGAAAATATATTATACATGTTCATTTTCAATTACAAACGAGGAAGCAGGGAAAAAAATTTAAAAAAAAAAATAATAAAAAAAATATGGATAAATAAAACAAATTTATTAGCTTTACAGGGACTTTACTTAAAAATGCAATTTTTTTAGGAAGTTGGAGTTGATTGATTTGTGCCATTATTGTCAGAGGGTTCAATTTTTATTTCTGATGACTCTGGAATTTCTAATTGTCTGGGTCCGTATAGTAAAACATAAGCAGTATGCCAGTCACCTGAAAATTTTGAATAAAATAAAATTAATATTCTTGGAATAGAAATAAAATAAAAATTTGATAGGAAAAAAATTTAATTCACAAAATTAGATTATCTTCAATAATGGTTCAAACAGTGGGTGCATCCATTTCATTAATTCATTTAGTAAAAGTATTGAGTGACCTAAGCTTTTAGAAATTTTTTAAGATTTCTGTTTAAATCCTAAGAGGCGAAGAAATCCCACTTTGAAAATGCTAAAAATTGGGACCCGTCTAAAATGATATTTTTGGCGAGCTTTGATGGCGCAGCTGGGCAAGAGAACCTGTATTTGTTAGTAGACTAAAATCAGCTTAACAGACACACATTAACAGACATTGCTTTGCAACGTCAACTCGATTGTTTGCTTTTGATTGGCTGTACTTAAATTAACTTTTTCACCACTTGGAAATAATCTCTTGAACTTCTTGGTTTTTTCACAATGTTTTATTTGTGAAAAACGGAAGTATCATCCTTCAAAAATTCTCTTCCACTGCGCCATTGCTTAATGCTTTAAGGTTGACTTGGACTATGAGCCCAAGCAGGACATAAGGTTCTAAAAAATAAAAGTTTCCATTAGTAGATGGGCCTCTGACACTCTTGAGCTCTCACAGAACGGTTGGAAGTAAAGTTATGAAAGTGAAACATTTGATGTAAAAAGATGCTTACCTCCACCAGAAAGTTTCAAAACTTCCTCTAATGTTATGGGCGTTACAACATCATCATCAAACTTGATCCACATGGATGGGTTTGACGGAGACCGTACCCATGCAACATAGTGACCACTGCTACTTAGCCGACCTTTATGTGTTAAAACTGCTTGTAATGTGTAGTAACCAGAGTTGTTTGAGCCTAAATCTGCACAGAAATAGAAGAAGAGAGTTTTAGTAACAAATGATATTGAAGTTACGAAAGTGCAATGAACCCTGTGAAATGCCAACAAATATAAACAAGGAAAGCTTCTCCAGGATAACCGGAAAATTGATTAAAATTTTGCCGGAAGATACTAGAAATGACATTGAGATAATCATATTTGTCCATTTTTTCGAATCAAGTCGGTGAAGCCCCAAAACATAATGAGATTCGGCGTTTTTACTCGCGTAGAATCAATCAGTCCCTGAGCTGAAAATATTAAAATTTTATTTAAGGAATGAATGATAAGTGCATTATAGTCGATCTAAATTTTATTGTGTTAAGAATTTTAAAACACTCCTGAAATTTCGGAGCCAGCAAAACACCGCATAAATTTAGTGAAAAATTTCTTACCGTCTTCAAACCAGTATGGTTCATATTTGACATCCTTTTTCTTTTCTATTGGTTTTTTACCAGTGCCAGATGTTGCCTCAAGAGCTTGCTTATCTTCAAATTCCTTGAAAAACAAGAAATAAAGTTACTTACAAGATTATCTTTTTTCTATCCTGATGTTTGTGATGAAAGATGTGTTGACTGTGCACCAAACCTAGTCGCGTACATTTTATCGGGGTGTGACGGCTTCAACTTCCGTAATTTTCCTTTGTCTTTCCTGATGTGTATGACTTAAGATGTGTTGATTATTACACACACAAAGGAAGAAAAAAGACTATTAAGTAAGTCAAAATTATCACATTGGTAAAGAGCGAGCGTGTTATGAACGGTTTTGACTGTAATAATGGGTAAAATTTCTTTAATATTTGAGGTAACGCTATGGTCCATTTGGTTACTTTCAGATAAATGTCATAAAAGTTATGATTGTATATTGCAGCGTATTAGATATTTGGTCGATGAAATTTTGGAGACCAGCACAAGAAAGCAGATCATAAAAAACACTTAAACTCACTTGCGCGTAAAATTTGATAACTAGCAGACGCGTTTTGTCAGATAGAGCCAACAAAACTTGTCCGCTAGTTATCGCTGTTAATTTTGTTATTCTTATTAATTTTATGCTCAAGTGAGTTTAAGTGTTTTTTATGATATTGAATATTCACATTTGGCGAGGAAAGAAGCAAAATTCAAGATAGTCTGACAACTTTCTAATCAAATTTTAATTAGCCACATGGTAAAAAAAAAGGAGAAAAAACCCATGATCCAGCATTTAATATGGATATGGCGGGAAAGATTCTACAAAGGTCCAAATGATCAGACTTGAATACTCCTGAAATTAAGTAACTTCAATGGTATACAATTGATCAAGGAGGAAAAAGAAACAAAATAAAATTGAGCTTTACCTTAAATTTTTGTCTCATAGGTTCCAGTTTCTTTTGAAGCTCTGGAGAACAAAGCTCATAGGTGTCAAAATCGTATGGGAATTTTATATCCTTCAAAATTTTAGCGTTTACCTTATCTTTTTCTTTATAGACATATCGTACAAATTGAACTGTTAAATATGCTGGCAACCTCCTAATTTTACACTGAAAGAAAAAATGTCAGCAATTAATAAAAGGAGTTGAACTGTCACAAGCATAATTCAGATAATTTACATACATCACATATGTACCAGAATTAGAACCATTAAAGAGTACATACATAGATATGTATTAGATACATTTTCAAGAGATCATACCAATTTAAACAAGATATTTTGCAAAATAATCAAAGTGACTAGAACACAGAGCCTGTCATTGATCATCAATAATAATGATGAATGAATGAAAAGGGGGGCGGGATACCAAAAAATCAGCATTTTATCTGAGCACTGAAAACTGCTTTTCTCAACAAAACTTTGAAAAACATGTGAGTCGTTTTGAACAAATTGAAAGAAATTCAAAACTTATGATCTGAGTAGCAAAACTTGTGTCAAGGATTGAAATTTTCAAAAACATTACAGAACCTGACAAACAAAATAATAACGAACAAAAAATGTAAAAAATATCAGGAAACAGAAACAACTCGGGAGTCAATTCATTGGACTGATCTATACCAAAGATGAGCACATCATAATCCTGAACAACTTATGCTAAATTACAGATTTCATTTATATTTACTACCAAACACCAAAACTATGGTTCAATTAAGTTTTTCACAGAATATTGTTCTGCTGGTTTAACCTCATACATTCGCAAAAAATAATAAAATCTGTTCAAAACCCAAGTTTCAACGTCCAATATTAACAAAGACATAACTCATCATAAAACACTATGTATGACATCATTACTGCGGTGGTACTGACATACCACAGTTTCTTTCACCTTTGATTCATCAATCAGTGGTGCGTACGTTTGCACTGGTTGCTTGACTCAAAACACAGATAAAATCAAGGGGGAGAAAACCGCAGTGGATGATATCATACACCGAGTTTTTCTATGAGCAATATCTTTGTTAATATTGTACGTCAAAATTTGACGTTTGGTAAGATCTTATCAATTTTGGCAGACATGAATGCTTAGACCATAAAAACATGATCCTGTGACTCGTTCAATTGACCAACGTTTAACTATCACTAAGAATTCAATTCGGCAAACCCTGAAGCCAGAAATATCCGGATGCAAAACTATATCATCTGATTTTCCTAAACAAATGTGTTATTTCGTTCTTATATACTTTCATTTTTAAGGAATTGCGGATATTCAGAGGAGATTTTTTGGAATAAAAAGCTGCTATGTGCTTCTGTCGTGATGGTTCCATCTCAAAAGGAAAACGATATTTTAGGCCCAATCAGGGGGTAAGAAGAATCTGAATAAACTCTATTGATTTTAAAGCTTGATCAGAAAATTCAGCATGAAAAACTCAAAACAAAGGATGCAAGAAATACAAAGAAACAACATAATCTTCTTACCGTTTTGGTGTAAACAGCATCTCTACCAAGAGTTGGAGAATTTTTCGTTAGCTGTTCTTGCATTTTCTGAAAAAAGGACAGAAATTTTGTTGGGTCAGTCAAGAATACAGGGTTGAAAAATGTCGTGAATTTTTAAAGACAACTACATATGACAACTGAACACAAAGCAACATATCAAAAAGATAAAAAATTGTAAAGCAAAATCAGTCCTGGTTCCTATGCCAGCACCAAAACTTAGTAGGTTTTCAGAGATTTTTTCCTATTTCACAGCTTCATAAGATTTCTGCATATAATAAATCTTATGCATGTAAACGAATTGATTTTTTCTGTGAACATCTCTGATGAGACAGCGAGAAAATGAGCCAAGGTAGGCACTGCAATGAAAAATAAGCACCGAGTATTCTGAGTGATAATATCTCTCCATAAGCATTCGATGTCAAATTTGGCATTTGATAGAGCACATCATTTACCTTTCTCTATAATCTTGGGCCATCAAATTACGATTCTGCTGACAAGCCCAAATAGAAATGTTTCTCAGAAATATGCAACTGCCCTGGTGTTTTGCTCAAACAAAAAAACGCAGAAATATCACTTGACTTTCTAGCCAGAAATAAAAAACTTTTTACTTATTTCGCATGAAATTTTTATTGCCATAAACTACCTAGTGCGACACACACACACACACACACACACACAAAAAGAAAAGAAAAAAAAAAAGATTGAAAGCAAAGAAGGGTACCACTCAATTTAGAGAATGATTTTGTACAAGTGCATAGTTTTGAAACTCACACTCTGTAAACCTGCCATCATGTACTTGACATCTTGAGAGATGAAGCAGCTTAATTCTAAAAAATTTTCTGTGCTAGTGGAGGGAGGTTCGTCTGCCTCAGTGCACTTAAATTCAACATCAAAAGAGCCACCAAAGTATTGCTCAACGAAAGATCTGCAACACAGAAAAATTCATTTCAGTTACACTATTGCTGCATTTTAAAATCTGATGCTAAAGTTGAATCCTCTGCACAGGTTGAATTTGAAGCTGTCGCACCACATGAATAAATTGTTAATTTAAGCCATCAAGAGGATTATTTCTAAAAAACTGAAATACAGTACGAACTCGATTAAGTGGATTGCAATTAAGCCAGGCTGTAATTTAAAAGATCAATCCTTTTGTTCTCTTAAAGGTGCCAAAAAGTTTGCTGTTAAAGTGTTTGACGCCTTACAAATTTAAATCGCAGCTCGCTTTGGTTAATAAATCACATTTCTCTTTCTCATATCTTTTGATCAGCAAAACTCTTTCCGATGCAATGACTTGAGAGTATTTGAGTGGAATTTTGGACAACTCAACTGCAAACTGATAAAAAAAACTAGAAGCCTAGTTATGACACTTACATGCAAACTTGAGGCTAAAATTATTCCTTAACAGTGTTTCAGGGTCTTTTTTTAAATTTTTCATTTTAGTTTGCCACATTTCTTTTTACCTTGTTTTCTCAACTGGAAAGAAAAAAATAGGTAGAAATATTTTTGCAGGAAATGGAGAATTTACACGCAAATTTTTTATAGCTTCATCTGAAAGTGCTTAAAGAGCTGATTTTGCAGTATTTTTTATAATTTTTTTCGGCTATGGGAAAAAGTATAAGAATATATTTAAAAGTGAGAAAATGCACCGCTCAGTGACGTCATCTGGCAGCATTTCCCATTTAAGCCCATGTACATTAGCAGATTAGATCATTGTGCCATATCTTCTCCAATAATTGTTCAATTTAAGAACCAAGGATATCCTCGTGTTCAGCTCACTTGGTAGCGTCCATTCAAACGTAGAATTCATCAAATTTCAGACACCTGCAAATTCTCCATTTGTTAAAAATGTGAAACTTTCTCGAAGAAAAGGCTAATTAATACGCGGAATATGACGTAGAAACAATTTACTTGAAAGTGATAGGAGAGTCATCCTTATTAGGTTTGGAGGGCAGTTTTTGTTGAAGCATCCTCACTAATTCAGTCCAACATTCATAAGCATCCTGGAAAATGAGAAGGAAAAATATAATCGTGAAGACAATACAGATAGTTAAACTCAATACATCATGGGATTGCTTGACAGCATAAAAAAAGAAAGTACTTGAGGAAACCCGCTTGATACCATCTCAAACATTGAACTATAAAAGGGTCATTCCACGTCAAGTGTACCAGGCTCGGAACCCGACCCCCTCCGATTTGGCTGAAAATTGGTATACGGGGTCTTTACATCATTGTAAGAAACTAATTTGAAGGGTTTTCCCATCTGACGCCCCGTTCGCGAGATATCGACCCCCAAAGATGGGGTGAATTTTAGCGATATTCAAAAACGCCCGTTTTAGCGATTCTCATTTTCTCGACTTNATGACCCAAAAGCTATCATGGCTTCATACTTTTTTAATGGACGGTAGCTCAATTTATAAAGTTGTCAGCCTAAAATCAATCGATGAATAGTAATTGAAATGTAAAACTCAAAGGTGTACAAGTTTCTTTGGTAATTCCACATTATGTAAAGGCAAAAACTAAAAAATACAGAACTGAGTTGTTCCTTTCCCACTAAATATATATAATACCAGAAGTCGTGTGACATTCCTTAATTTTTCGTGACTTTTCATTTAATTACCAACAGGCGAATCTTCAGATGAAATCACAGAATTTAGAAATTTTAACAAATTTTCCTCATACTGCTGATAAAAGCCGATAACATTTTCAAACGAATTCGTTTAATAGTTCTTCTATAAGAAAATAAAGTGTGAGGGAAAATTTGGAAACACTGCATAACACTTGTGATGTATTCCCCAGAAAGAGACAGCTTTTTCCAGCTTTTGCTGGCTGGTGTAGAATATTTTTATGACCTATTTTCATCAGTTAAGAATCTCATGCACTTCTCCTAAAACATTTGGGAAGTATTACTAAAGGAGAAACAAGAGAAGAAAAAAAGATTGGTGGTAAATAAAATAGAAGCCTTAGTTTTCAAGCCGATATGGACAGGGATATTTTACATCAAAAAAGTTTGATTTTTAGTTTCACTTCAGTCAGAGCGTCAGCACAATGCCTACGATCTCCTAAAATATTATTGCCTGTCTGGGAAGAAAGAAAGACAAAAATAGAGAAATATCAAATCTTCCCTTACACTGGTAATGACTCATTATATTTTTGACTGACCTGCTGTACATAAGATCCGCTTTCAGATTTTTCAGCAAAGCGAGGAAAAGCGATGTGGAGGACTTGGAGAAGAAGAATGGGAGGAATATTATGGCCTTTGTCCATGACTTGATATAAATCTCTCAAAGCGGCAGTGATTGATTGAGATGGTGCTCCGGCCAATACGACAGCTGTTAATCATAATAAGCAGATACCAAATTAAAATTTCTTTGAAGAGGATTCATGGTACAGAGGAATTTACACATCATAGATATAAAAATAACATTGACAAGAGGTCAGTTGAATCATTCTTTCATTGAGTCATTTGTGACGATTAAGTAAATTAAGCTTAACGTTTACCTCTCAACTTTTTTTATAAAGACAACTGGGAGAGAAGTGAGCATGCGCATCACTAAACTTACAGGAATGAACTTGGAACGTCAGTGACTGCGTCTTTTAGCTTGTTTGGCTTTAATGATGACCTCAATATCAGCCAGTCCACAGAAAGTTAATACATCAAGATTTTGGCTGTACTATCCAATGTGATTGGATGAATATTTGTAAAATGATGAGGCATAATATTTCAACTTTCAATGACTTTTCATTATACTTACCCCCTTCATATTGTTTGAGAGCACTCCTAAGTTCTGGAACACTTTTGAGGCATTGAACTACCGCATTTAGGTAACATGTATTGCCAAGGTTATTTAGTCCTGCTGGTAGGTTTGACTAAAAAAAAGCGTTTACAAGGATTGTATTAATTAAAAAAATTGTAACAAAAGAGAAAAGAAGAAAGAAATTAAATGCAAAGACTGACAGTAACAAGCTAGAAATCTATTTTGGAATTTGGATGGGGTAATTGAGAGAAAAGATGACACCAGATTTTGACGATTTATAAGTACACAAAATTTTTAACAAAGAGCTATCAACCAGTCAGAGATAACAATCAACTATTTCAAAAGAAAAATAAACTAATGTGTTGTGGCTCGCACTGTATGTAACACGGCATGAAAATTCTTCCCTTCAGTCTAATACTGATACCCATTGGAGCTCAAATTTTGACTCTAATTGAAATTTTTTGCCTTGCTACTCTGCAAAATAGTGCAGACCTAACACTGTAATACCACCTTACTATCTCAAAAATCTAACTCTCTTAATGATTACTCTTTTAAAACAATTGATTCAAAGGACTCTGTTTTCCATCCAATCAGTAAATGCCAATGAGGACGCTAAGTTGGGACTTTTAAAACTGATGACTAGGGATTTCAGGAGATTTCGACAAAATTGGTTATAATTTCTTTGATCATCCCATTTATGCATTCTACAAAAGATACACATTGGCGCCAGATGTGTGCTTCCATTTCAATGAGAAATGACTTTAATCTGCACAATCCACAGGTAATCATTGAAACCTGAACATCTATTTGAATTATCGCATGGGCTGTGATTAAACTGACCATTGCTAATGGATCTTTCAAAAATCAAAGGTCACCATATCTATTTTCTATAGACAAAGCAGTTTCTTCGCTTCTCGAATAAGCGATTTTTACATTTTTAAGGAAACTTTTAAGCTAAAACTTTGGTAACTATGAAAGAAAAAAGAGCGATGTTGTGATAATCAATCAGACGTAATGATCAGCAATGTTTCCGCTTTAATGGGCTTGTTAAAAACTTCTGCTAGAGCAAAAGTAAAGGTTGTTTCTTAGAGAAAATGGCTCAACAATCGCGATGAGCGCACCAACAAAGTCTGAAATACACTCCTAACTTTACAATCTGTATAAAAAGTTCACACTTTTTTGAGCTTCCTGCTTCAAAAACTATACTACGGTACAGGTGAACATTTCGTTAGAATAGTCGTCCTTTCCAACCTTTGTGCAGTAGAATACTGCACAATATTCAACATGCCCGACTCTAATCCACCAAAACTGGCCAAAAATCGTGTGCCAGGACGAAATTCTAACCATTTGTTAACAACCTGGAGTGTTTACATTCTCGTTTTCTTAGCGTTGATAAAGATCCATCTTGATAGTGTCAGTTATGTTAAGTATTGCAAAACATTTTAGTACGCAATTGTTGAATGGAACGACTTTTCTAACGAAATGTTCCACTGTGCCGTGGTATCGTTTTTGAGGTGGAAAGCTCAAAAACACGCAAATTCCTTACACAAATAATGTGAAGTTAGGAGTTTATTCCAGACTTTGTCCATGAGCTCATCGTAATTTTTGACCCATTTTCTAAAAGGAACAACTCTTATTTTTGCTCTAGCAAAAGTTTGCAACGGGCCCATTCTGCTGGGTATTGCTGTGGGCCAAAAGTGTAAATTCTGAGTTTGCCCAGTGGACAAGACAAGTCTAGGGGGAAAACAGAGCTATGAGATTGATGGATTTTGTCATTTGGTGGAATAATGAACATCTGCTAAGTACGTGAGCATTTTGAATGATCAACTGTTGGTCAGTTACCAAAGAGGGGCCTTTAACTAGCAATCATTCAGCCTATAAAGAAGCTTGTGTGGCAGATCTTGGTCGACCAAGCGATACAACCCACCAATAACATTCCTCTATTCCCCTTTAGTATTATCTTATCATCCACCAGACAAATGAGGAATTTCAATAATTGGTCTGCTGATTACTCCATGTGGTTTAGGACTATAATTTTCTCTCTGAATAATTTTGAGAAAAAGGAATGGCCAGCAGGACTAATGCTTTGGGCAAATATAAAGTCCATACTCACAGCAGATGCAAGTTCTGCATCATTCATGTCCTCTACGAATACAGGTTTAACATCAGGTTCAGCAGGGACATCATCCTTGCTCCCCATTAGCAATATTGTTCCACCCTGTTGTAAGGAAAAATTAGAGGAAATTAGACAAGGTACAGTGCTAATTTAAAAAAGTAAAAATCTAGCCAATAAGTCTTTCCTAGACCGGGAGTGCAAAAAAACCTCTTTCTTCTATCTCACCACGAACCCTTGGATTTGCATTCCTAGGCCTCCCTTAGTTCTAGGGAATTTTGAAAAAAGGTGAAAAGTAAGCGCTGATTAGAAATTGACCAATATTTCTGTATACATTGACTGGGCAACAAATTTTAAAGCAAGCACTGATTGAAAATCAACATACATTGATAAATATAGGTACTTCAAATGTACAAGAGGATTTAGAAAATTCTTTCAAGGGAACAAAATCTTTCAAGGAGAAATGAAAAGTTTCCAAATTTTTGATGATACCTTTAGAAAAAATTACAAGGTGATAAAGTACACTTCTCTTCAGGGCTTAACTTGAAAGATTAAGATTCGAAAATTTTCATGAGCACATCAAGAAATGGCAAAATCTGCTGCAAATTTGCAAGATTTTCCTGCAAAATTACCAATTGCAGATGCAGACTCTAACATGAAAACAGCACCTGTAATTACATCTACATAAATTATAATGTCTCATTCTTTATCATTTTACAACATAGAGACACAAATACTTAAGAAAATAGCGTTCTAAAAATGGTCTAGGTAACTTGATACTTACATTAGTAATCTGGATGTTGCCCCAATCATTGTCCTTTAACGTTTGTCCTTTGAGCATTACTTTTTGCCGAGCTGGTTGAACTCCCGTCAGTGCATACAATTGAGCTTTGAAAACCATTGGTTCTAGATCTGTGTTCACATCCACATCTTTGTACAGTTCTTTCCCCCATTTTACTTTAACTACAAACAAAATGCAACATTTTTTACATTATTGCTTACACTCGTTAACATTGACTTTTATAAGCCGCAGTTGGGTTTACTTTTATACTGAAATTCATCCAATTAGAATCTCTCGCAAAGAAAATTACTTTAGTTCTTTACATTTGAGCATCATCATTCTCCTGCAACACTACGAAGATTTCTTGAAGTTTCTTTTTATAGTTTTGTTCATTTGAGTTATTCGGTTTATTTGGTTGTTTTATTTCAGTTTTATTTAGTAACTACAATTATTCCACTTGACGTGACCTGACCAGTGAGCATGTAATTCTGAAGTTGCTGACATCAATCTAAAGTCAAAACAGAACAGAGAGAGGCTAGCTCAACTTGGATTCAATGGTTGACAACAGATTGCAACACTGTTCACTAATGCTTCTCCTCCTGTTGGTGAGGTATGATGTCTCATATCAGATTCTGCAAGCATAATAAATTACTTGCATCCTAGATTCGATATGAGCAAAATCAGAACTTTCAAGTTTGTACATTTTTTAAGTTCCCAAAAGTAAAATTAAGTTCGGTGTTAACTTGATTATTGAAAAAATCCAAACCTCAGTGCAAGCAGCCTAAGAACTGAAGTGCCTAGCAAGTACTGTAACTCATCTAAAAATTATCCCAAGTGCAAATGTACACCCCATGGAGCAATTTACGGAAATCTTAGTATCAATCTCCGAAAAACATGAAGGAACCACAGTTCAGTCTCATCCAAAGGTGCCTTTAAAGTGAAGGTACCAGCACCTTTTGAGGTGTCTTAGTGCTAACTTAGGCTGAAGCTACTGTAATTACTCATAAAGGAAGAAGCAAGTAAGGCAATAACTTAACCAAGTGACCTTCATAGCCAAACAAAGGGGTTTGATACAGGTAAGATTTTTCCAAAGAGCACTTTCGAGACGCCTTAATGAAGTACCTCGGAGACAAGTTACAGTTCAATACATATGATGCCAGTCCTTTGCAAAATGACAGCACCAGTGATCAGCTGGTGTATCATGCTGATTGAGAAAACTTGATGAATTAGTAGTGTTCGGATGAGCATTGAGTGATAAAAAAATGCAATCTGAATCAAGTGAACCGTCTCTATCATTGTCACTGTCCCTCACTGTAAGAGTATAGAGGGTTTCAAAGGAAGCATTAAGAATAGAGGGGCATTCCTACAGAAAATCTAGAATTTGAGAATAAGTAAATCTGAAATTCAGAGGGAAACTCAGGTGGTGGGCAAGGGATAGCCCATGATGAGTCGGTAAGTTTTGAAGGATTGCCGAAGGGTTGACTTGCAACTTCCAGGCTCCGAAGTATAATGGAATGGTTTCCATGATGAAATTGTACATAACTGGAGATTGAAGAGCTTTTAAGGGATGGAAAAATGCTCATGACGATAAAATTAATTGGGCAAATGCATACAAAAATGTCAAGATAGTATTCGTTTTTTTGAGGTTAGGTGAGTAACCCAAACAACGGTGATAAGATAAATTGATGGATCAAACCTTTGTACTGCGGCATATTTTCAAGCGAGCGCGAACAGACGACTAAAAATGTGTTCAATAGAGAATATTTCAATTATTTTCTTTGAAAGGAAACTATGGAAAATAAAAATTAGCCACTTCAGTTCGCGCACACGCACAGCTTACACACACAAACGTGAACTTAACTTTTAAAACTTCAGTTGCACTGTTGCCAGTGATTCAGTAAATTTCATTATTTGTCTGCTTGCTGCTGTTTACTTTTTAAGCTTGATGACGTGAGCGCTCTCTGTTCGCAAATTTTTAAACTAAAGTTCAAAACAAGAGATAACAAGTTAGAAAATTCTAGAAGTTATGAACCAAGAACTAAAAACATTACATTACCAGAACTTTATCGTAAGATCCACGTTAGAATATGCTAGAAATTTAGTGTGCGCCGGCCGTCAGAGTCAACTCCGATAGTTCCAAGTTGCCTCCTCTTACAATTCGCTTGTTTACCTTATGACACAGTGCGAAATGTGGTCCAGATGTGGTCTCGCGTAGGTCAGTTTTAAAACTTGAACTACTATCAGCAAATCAAAAGTGTGACAGATTATCTAGCTCTTGTTTTTTTTGGCGTTTGGGTTTGTGTCAAATCATCGGCAATTGAATTAGTTTGCTCGCCGCTGAACACGTTTTCTTTTTGTGAGAAAGACTCTTCTCATCTTGAACTCTTTCATATATAAGTTAACTCTTTATCCTTTCATTCGGCGATTTCTACCTCAAGTTTCGGAATCGCCGGTACATCTTTCGTTCACGTGCCAAGTTCTCCGTCTTTTTGTTTATCCAGTATCTCACCATCTCCAAGCAAAATAATCAGCATGGAAAATATCGTGACGGACACTGCCCTTCAGCATATTGTAGATGAAAACCTGGAGGATTCAATTCAGCCACCAAAAGACAGGCTCTTCGGAATCTTGGACAAGCTTGAAATGCATGTTGAGAAAATGAGACGGGAAGCTCTGATGATAGAAGAGGAAAAAGACAACCTTTTTTCTACCTTAGATGCTGTTAAGAATTCAGAGTTGCTCGTTAGTTTGGAAGAAAGTAAGTGAATACGCATTCAAATTCTGGCTGTCTGATACCGGAGGAATTTCTTTTTCCAGTTGCTGAATTTTCTTGCTGAAAACGTTTACTTATCCTTATGTTGTACAACAATGAACTGTTGCTGTTAAACATGCACTTTTTAGATAGAGATGGCAAGTTAGAGCTTGTTCATTGTATGTGAAGACATTCTGTCAATCTTTGATGAGCACTGAATCAACACCACTCCACAGGTTAGAACTGGCTTCAGATAGGTCGGCAGTTGCACACTTTCTGCTTGCAAGGGACTGCGTTACTGTCCTCCAATGGCAATCGAGGAATGACCACAGGCGCCGCTGCCATGCACACATACGTAAAATGGTCTGCTGCGTTTGTCAGTGAATAGTAAACAAGGGACAGCATATCTGACCTGTTCTAAAACATGGAAGGGTATGGTGCCACCGATGAATGGTGATGCAACAATACTTGCCGTTCGTCTGGACATATGATGAGCAAACTCTGATCATCATGTGCACTGTGAAACTGTTTAGGACTCATATCAGATAAGTTGGCAGATGTTTACTTTCTGTCAACAAGCAAATGCGCTGCTGTAAACCAGTAGCTACTGAATATACTGAATATAAATGGTTGACAATGCTACTGATGTACACATATATGTCGATAGTAAACAACTGTCCACTTACAGGCGTAGAGTAAGTACGTACAGTCGTAATGTAAGTGGGAGAGCTGGCACCACTTTAAGCATTTTCCAGGTCCCGAATTCCGAGACTCTAGTGTGACACCGGGTCACTTTTTAGATACATGGTTGATAGTTTTCGATACATGGGTACCTATCCATCCGATGTAAACAAAGAAGATAGGAATTACCATGTATTCCATACCGCCATTTTGGATCGAACATGTAATCGAAGAAGTGACCAAAGCTCGGCGCACACCGGGCTCGGAACTTGTGGAGCAGAACATGGCGCTAGCTCTCCCATTTACATTACATCTCGATGTACTCTATGCTTACAGGGAAAGAGCTCTACCTTAGCGTATGACAAAGACCTCCTATCACTCTCTATTCAAATTGGAAAACTAACATCTTAATTTCATAATCATGTTCAAGATTTTCCTCCTTTATTCAAAAAATATCCCATGAATACTTCAACCATTGAAGTTGGAGCTTTTGATAATCAGATAATATGAGAAATGTCAATTTACTGTTCCAAAAATAAGGATTTACATAGTTAGACAAGAAGAAGAAATTAGCCTGCTTCCTTTGGAAGAAGAAAACTTGCGTTGCAAATAATGATATGAATGAACAAAATATTTTAACAAAACAACTCGGACTGATTGGCTGCCTGGCCATAGAGATTTCTCATGGCATGTCGAGACAGAAGTCAATCTTTGATCAGCTCTGAATCACATTACACTTCTCAAGAGCTTACTACATGCATTCAGACAGCACCGCTGAAGAGTGATAACATAAACAAGACTTGAATTTTGTTTCAACATATGATAAGTATAGGATTGCTGTGAAAGAGGCTTGAGATGATTAAAAGATGCATAAAATTTTGTAGAAATCTCAGAGGTTCTTGAATTAAAGAACAAAATTCAAGACTTTAGGTAGTTGTCAATGAGAAACAACACTTATATTATGAGGACCATGAAGCATACTTAGAAGCCTCTTGTGTTAAAAGTTTTTTAGTGATGAAAAAATTGTGTTCAAAGTTTTCAATGCCGTGCCATGCAGCAAATCAATGGTGTAAGTCGGCAATCACATAACTCGGTTTGCAACGTCGCAGACTTCCTGTCGTACTCTAGTTTTTAAACAGAAAACTACTCCTCAGTAATTCTTTAAAACTGCCGTGATCTTTCTTCTCAGTTCGAAGAAAATTCTGCAAAAACTTCAAGGAATGGTGTAAATTTGTTCTCCTTTTAAAAAATAACATAGAGGCGGAGATTTTCAGACACCGCAAACGAGTTAGTGATTGCGGACTTGTACCGTAGAAGAAAGAGTTCAGGCTAGTTCATCATAGAACGAATCCTCCTATAAAAAATGAGCTTTAGAAATTTAAATTTGATGCAAGGATACAGCGCTTATTTCAGTAATTTTGTATTGCAACAATTTCATGTTTCTCATGAAAGTCTTTGCTTATTTCCAGGTGACAAAGATGATATCCAAAGGTTTATTGACAGAATCTTCTCTCGCTGTATGACAGTTGATGTAGCTGTGCATACTCATCGTGACAACATTCAAGAAGATGCTCTTTATCAGGTCAACAATTTAATAGACTCCTTAGTTATAAATTTGCAAATGGATCCCAAGTCTAGTAAAAATAGATGTCTCTCATACATGGCAGCTTGCTCGTCGGCTCCCATTGGAATCAGTGACAACGATTTTGAAAGTGCGATCCTCGGCTGTACTATCGATGATCAGAAACGAATCAAAAAGCGACTCCAAGGGCTATTGGATTACATCAATACTGCTTTGGCTGTGAGCGTTCGCGATTTTGATTAATATTGTAAGTAGAATTGCTAATTTCGACTGCATTGTTTCCTTCTATCTTCATTTGTATTCCTATTACCTACCTTTAGTTTTTTTTACGTTTTAAACATATTTTTTCAAGGCATAATCATTTTTAAATTATTTTGTTTTCATCTGAAAAATCATTTTCATTTTCTTGTCTGAGCTTTTCCATTATGTTGCACTCGTTTCATCACCATGGTTGTAAAGACAAGATCCTTCAGGTCATTTTTGCCTTAAAAGGCCTTTTAATGACTTTAATCATTAATAATGTTGAGGAAACATCTAGGATTTTTCTTAGGAATTCCATGTCTTTGTAACTTTTTACAATGGTGTAACAAGAATGAAGAAGTAATAGCTTTCCTTAGGTATTATACAATTAAAAATCTAAGGAAAGTATTTGTCCTCCAATTTTTGCTGTGCCTACTTTTGCACTATTGCTGTTCCGACAGAAGAGAAGTTGATAAACAAATTATTCAGATTTTCTTTAATTTTCACCAAGAAATGAAGGTCTGCTGTTAGTATAAGAATATTAAAAGTTAATCTAAGTGTTTTTAGGATGGAAACTGCCATGTAGCACCGCTGAACACGGTAGGTGTTAAAGTGAACATATTCTCATCTTGAAGTTAAAAATAATTAAAATCTAAACAATTTAAAGTAGCAGAATTATAACATAGTAAAGTTACATTACATTTATAAAGATTTATTGCATTTCTAAATCGCAATGTAAGGAAACAGACTTAACCAATGAACATTATGGGTATTGGGAAAAGAGTGAATGATACCTCTCCCTTACTCTCTCTGTCTCTCTTTCTTTCACATTAAATCAATTTGTAACACGCATTTCCCTTATTTTTTTATGTGAATTTTCAATAAATCACAAATGCAATGTCTTATTACTCAATTTGGATGCTGTCACGCGTTATTTTTCGTCCTGATGCCTTTTAAATTCGCCTTACGGCAAGTACAGGCTGAACTAATTGCTGCCATTCCCTTTGATACATGATTTTAGCACTATGTCATTTTTCTTTAAGTTTTGCCTCTTATAAGTGGACAGATTTAACTGGTACCACCAATTGAGTAATTTGATCAAAATTTCTTCAGCTACAAAACAAGTGATAGCCTTGAAAACCTTGCTGATGTGTTTGAGCAGAGTACTGAAGTATGATGATTGTAACGTCTTTTCAGTTTCAGTAAATTCTAAAACTCCACTTGTAATCGATGTGAACTAGGTGCTGCTCATCTTTAATTAACTTAATTATCTTACCTTAAAAAAAAAAATAAATAAATAAAAAATTGCCGCTAATTTCAGAGCACAGATGTATTCGTGATTAGAGGATCTTATCGTTGAGCTGTTTTCTTGCAATTTTAATCTTAAATTATGAAAATTGGGAGTTAAATATTGTTCATCAATATTTTGTTTTTATCTCTCATTTTTACTATAAATTCAGGTGAATTAAAACATTGAAATTTTTCCTCCAGCCTTGTGCTAGTTTTTTTTCTCTTTTGTATCGTTCTCATAGTATGTACAATTTCAGTATGAAGCAGACTAAGTCTCAGTCCTTTTATTCCTCTTCTTTTATTTTTCTCTGGTAAATTTTGTTTTTAAATAATACTAAATTAGTATTATTGAGAATTATTCCATCTGAGCTGTTATGGAGCATTTTATTGAATAAATTTCTTCTTCAATTTTTTTCATCCAGTACTTATTTTTTCATCAACTTCAGCTCTATGTCTGAAGAAAAGATCATTCATTTGTCAATGTTTCTAAGTAATTTTCTTTATGCATTGCATTTACTGAAGTTTTCTTGTTCACGTCGTTTCTTTTGTGCAAATGGTCGTCCAAGAATTTTCGATTAAATGGAGCTTGAACATTTTCTTCTTTTGTAGTAAATTGAAGTGTAAAATATATAAAATCATTGATTTTTTTTGTTCCAGCAAAATCACCGCTATACAGTTATTTTGGTTAATTATCATCCTTTTGTTTTAACAACCTCTTTGCAACAAGTCTTCTCATCGCCCATTTGAGGGAACTTTTTTTTTTTTTCTGTTAGTGAATTTAATCACAGATCTTGTATCTGTATGCTTTCATGATAAAGTTTTGAAATTTCTATGGAACTAATACATTTTGCAATAAATAACTTTTTTTTCTGGCTCATTGAAAGAATCACCTATCTGCTTGAAGAAATTTATGGCATATATATCGTTCTTAGAAGGAGCCAAAAATAAAAGTTCCTTGTTAACAAATGCACTCCAATCGTTCACCCTCAGAAAGGCTCAAGTGACAAAAACTTGAAGATCAAGTCACGGATATTTTCCTATCGTATGAGATCTAGTTTGGGTGGATCAGAACATTTTTCAGGACAGTAAAAAAACTAAACGTAAGCTTGGTCCTATTCCAGGCCAAAGGTGAATTTCACACCCCACTAGAAGTAAAAATTAGGTCAGGATGAAGATAGTTGGTTTCTGATAGTACTGTTGCCGTTTCGGACTTTTATCACATTCAGAACTAACTATTTGAATATCTTTGTCCTGGCAGCGAACCTAAACATTCTTGAAGTGAGTTTACGATGAGAATTTCAATGTCAGATTATTTATTAACTATTCTAAAAACTCCCACGAGAGCCCGTGTCGCAGAGGTTATGATGGAAATAGCAATTGGATAGTTCCACTCCTTTCCCTTTTATTGGACGACCACTTCGCTAAGGGTTAGGTTTTTCACAGACCATCACCAACCTGTAGTTTTATATTGTTAGTTGTCACTGTATTTTTTGTATTCTCATTTCTAGCGCTTGAGCCTTTTTGAAAATAACCAATTCCATTCTGGTCAAAATATTTCCATTGCCACTGCATTTGTGAGGATCCGTGGGGAAAAGTATTGTCGTACAAGGTGGCAAGGTTTGTCCTATCTATTTTTAAAATTAAAACTTCACTTTTCCATTGGAAACTCATATATTCCAAAGAAAAAGTTAAAAGCCACCAGTTATTAGTTCATTCAAGTATAAAAAAGTATTTTTTGTGACAACAGAAAGCAGTGAATTGCATTTTGGTCTGAAAATTTTGAGCACCATAACATCCATGTTGAAACTAGAAATTCTGCTCTCTTTCAATAACATTTTTTCAGCTGAAAACTTCAAGCTGTCGTAGTGTGTGTCGTACTTCAAGTGTGGTTTGGATTTCATGGGTGTGTTTTTTGCCAGATTTATTGTCAATTTTCCTCCAAGCAGTGGTAACAAGTTTTTAATTTTGAGTTTTTTAAACTTCTTGTCTCATTCATTACTTTGTGATGGTTAGTCACACAAAAAACTACTTGCAAAATTAGGAATCAATGGTATCTATGTAGGAGGAAAAAAGTAACACTGTTGAAACAAGATCAAATTATTTATATTTAAACAAAAATTAACTTACGCAGATGAAAAAAAAAAGAAAAACTACAAAATTTCTTTACGTATTGTAGTACATATACTTATTTGAAGAAATTATTATCCCTTGAAGAGATCTCTCAGTCATCCATCAAAGAAAGAGATATGTCCCTACATAACAACTAGGACTTCTCATCACAGGGACTTGGAATAGGAAAAAAATATACACTGTATTCACATAATTTGTGGACCCGTCACTCCATCAGAACAGACTGAAAGTTTTCCCTTTTATTTATAATGGAAGCACTTGAGGAAACACCATTGAATCTAAAGAAAAAGTTTAGATTTTTCAATGTATCAGTGAAGAAGTTTACTGAGTTTGACACTTGAAAACTGTTATCACTACTTATTAAATATCTCACCAAAAAGTATTGAATTGCACTCTAACATCCATTCGCTTGTTAAATCTGTAGTAACTGCAAAATTTCAACAGTATTAATTTCACAATGGTTGGTCAAGAAATTGTGTGGGTTGCTTAATTTGAGTAATTTAAAGATGTTCAATTCAGTACATCCAAAACTGACCAAAGCATTTTCCCCACACATTTCCTTCTCCATCAACTGTAAAAAAAGTGTCTAGATACACTGAGGCTTGTTCTAGTTTTTCATTGAGACAATATGGCAAGGTTTTTAACGTGAGACGAACAATTTATCGAAGAACCCAAGTTTTTAAAGGTAATTTAGGCAACATACCTACAATTTTGACTTCACCTTAACCAGAATAAATATTTTCTCAATTGGCCATGGTCTTGATGATACCTCTGGCAACATAGACATGATCCTCCTTCAAAATTGTAAAGGAAAGATTTATGCAAGTCAGATGTTGAATTTCTTAAATTGACAGTCATCAAACAAGTACACAAAAGGTCTCATCCGTGAACACTTTATTTAGGCGCTTTGATGCATACCTATACATGTGGCACTTGTTATTAGTTTTTGAGTCAAGTCAATTTTCAAAAAAATACCTAATTTTTACAAGACTACCTGATCGAAGGAGTTCATAAAGCTATCAAGCACTTTACGTATTTACACTTTTATTCATTGAAAATTTGAAGCATCTCAGTCAGTTGTCAAAGAATTCTACATGAATTTCTAAATATGTTTCTTTTCTTTCTGTTCCGGTGTTTGCCAGATTTAAGTTTGATGGTCCCATTACTGTGGTGGTTTTTGCTATTCAATGGTGTTGGCCCAAAAGCATCTGAAACAACACGATTTCCATTAAAAAACAAGTTATGCATTTTTACTAATACTTAGCTAATTGTCAGAGCGGGAAAGACTTCATGATTTCAATTGTTGAAATAATATTTCTCTCGATTTATTGACGAGTACCTTACAGCTTATATAGCCACTTCAGAGATATCCGAATACAATTTAACTTCAGTGCGGCTCAACTCATGTCATCATCCCTGAGAAAAAAGTTTTTTTCTTTTGTAAAAAATGTGAAGGTTCTGGTAGTTTCTCAAAGAAGGTGTGTGTCATAAAACCAATTTTCTCAAGTTCCCAGCTGAATTTACATTATAATCAAATTTTGACAGAATCATAAATTATTCTAATTCTCATGAGAAAATCCAACACTCAGTTGTGGTTATATTTATTTACCTATTTTAGAATGAAGAATAACTTAATCACCCAAAACACATAATAAAATACCAACTTAATTTGGAGCAAAGGCTGCAAAAAAAAAAAAAAAAAAAAAAAAAAAAAAAAAAAAAAAAAACAGGACAAATAAAAAAAAACCCGGCCCTTGTAATCGGCCTCAGTCTCGCAATAACAGCGAATCAATGCCTTATTTTTATTTATATTTTTTTCCTCCGGCTGATAATGAAATTGTAACATTTCGAAACGTTCCGGGTTTTTTTTTTTTTTTT